CACCAGGTGTAGGGGCAGGGAGGGACGGAGCAGGATTTCTATGATTTGAGCAGTCGGGTAAAGGAGGGATTCTGGGGCCCTCAGTGGCTTTTGCAGGCTTTCATTAGGATTTACCAGGTACACGGCGGGCAGGGGTGCTGGGGACGGAGAGTGCCTTCTCTCTTGCTCTGTTGTTGCGCTGGCGTCCTCGGGACACCGCCCTTACAAGCCCAGTCTCAGCCCAGATGTATGCCATCTACCTATGCCCACGCCCTACTCCAGGTGCCGCCATCAGACATGCATTCGGGACCGCAGGGATCCATCATCCATCCTAATGGCGGGAGGGCAGAAAAGCCTGATACTTTTTTTTACCTTACCCTATACCAGGGCGTCCCCCAGCTCAGCAGCTCCTGCTGAGGAGGTCACAGGGGCTGCGCTCAAAAGGGGGTGCCTGCTCTCAGCTGGACATTTAGTTTTGCTTTGGGATCTGTAGGGTAAGTGAAAAAGTATCAGCCCTCTCTGCCCTCCCGCCATTAGGACTGATGAGGGAACCCTGTGGTCCCCAATGCAGGCCTGATGGCGGGCACCTGGAGTAGGGTGTGGGCATAGGTAGATGGAGTTCACCTGGGCTGAGACTGGGCTTTTAAGGGCGGCGTCCCGGGGATGCCAATAGCGCAGAGAAGCATGGAGAATGACAGTGAAAGGAGCAGAGAAGAAATGGCCACGAGAGCGCGTCGAGAGTCCAGAGAGAGTGAAGACCGGCTGGGAGGCTGCAGGCACCCCTGCCTGCCGTGTACCTCGTAAATCCCAATAAAAGCCTGAAAAGCCACCGAGGGTTCCAGGACTCTCTCCTTTACCCCGTCTGCTCGGGTCATGGAAAACCTGCACTGAGCTCATTCCTGCCATTACAGGATCCAGTTGTTGTCCGGAGGGAGACCTCACAGCCAGGACACTCTCCGTGCCCGACATACTGTGAGCCTGCATTCCAGGCTTCCAACACGAGACCCCGGGTCCTGCTATTTCATGTTTTTCTCCTTACAGTCTTGCAATAGCGTGGATCAGTTCCACACCCACCAAGTGAAACTTGCCAGTCTCTCCTGACTCACAACGGCAGCCCAAGCCACTAACGAGAACGTGGGAGCGGCCAAGCTCCGTGTTCAGCAGACAACACAGGAGGGTGATTGATTCTATCAGAGGTACCGTGACCCCCATTCCACACACCAGGAAACAGGCCCAGAGTAGTCAAGCAATAGCTGAGGCTTCACCCCACAGTTGTCTGTCACCAAAAAGCAGGGCATGGACCTACTTTTTAAAAGGGACCAAATGCTGCATCTGACTTTAAACCTCCAAGGCAGCACCCCAGATTTGAAGGGTGAAGATGTGCAGGTTAAGAAATGGTAGACGGCACTCTGGTTTTACATGTCACTCCCTGATCCCCAAACCCTCAACTCCCTGGCTTCGGAAACCCTCAGGCAGATCCCACAGGCAGGCTTGCTCCATCTCACCCACAACGCACATAAGAAATGCTTCTCCATGATAATTTCCTTCCACCCAAGAAGCCACCATCCTTTGCTTGCCCTTATCATTGCTGATGATGAGCAGCCAAATGGGATTTAATCTTAAAATAAAATACACTTTTGATTCATTGCTGAAGAAACCAGAAAATAAAAACTGCAATCTGTTAAATTTTTCAAGGGTTCCGTGGGGTGCCCCAGGGCGATCACCTGTACCTGGGAGCTCTTTGCACGCAGTAACCATCGCCACCGTGGTTGGCTAGGCTGGCTGACCTCTGCAAGGAGGCCCGTCCCCAGGAGGCGGTGGCGAATGAAATGCTAGCTGTTACGGGAACAGAGGCCTGCCTCGTGGTGGGAGGGAGCCCGTGGGATGGAAGTAGGCCCGTGGGAGGACTTCAAATACACTTCAAAGGGAAGCAGAGGGAGCCCCGAACCTTTCTGTCCCTATTTCTGGCTACAAAGTTGAAACCATAAAAAAGGAGAAAGCTGACACCCTCTAAAGTTCAAGGTGATGCCGTCTAAGCACCAAGGACTTTCACTGATGTGCCCACATCATCAGCTGCCCAGGAGTGGCTTCTTACACACAGGACAACAGGGACCCTCCACACCCCCATTTCTAGATGCTCTGGAGAGGACATTTAATCTTCTCCCAGTTCAGATGAGATTTATCCCAAAGTTGAGACAAAGTGATTTATTTCTATAATAAAAAAGTACTTTGAAAGATGTCTTTGTTTTTCAAAAATACAGATACAACTGGCAGAAGGCTCTGTGACAGCTGCGCAAACATTCGATTGCCAAGGAAGGCCTTTTTCTCTACTTCACCACAGCTGTTCAGGTCAGGGCGAGGTTTATTTTCCTCTTGCACTAAGCTTTCCAAATCAAAAATTCTGGTCTCTAAATGAGCAGAGCGTTGTCTTGGAATTGTCTTGAATAGGCTGCCACCCTGTGGTGGTCACGGAAAAAAGCATCTGGGGTTTAACTGGCAGAGACAGGCTAAGATGAGAATTACAGATTTTAGTTCCATGGGCCACTCAGTGGTGACACCCGACTCCGGGGAGGGCGCCGCGCGCTGTGTCCATTCTCACGCTGCAGCACGAGCAGCGTATGTTTTCAGACTTGATTCTGCAGTAATTTGTTGTATTTAATGTACTTATTTAACTTCACCTTGCTTAACATTTGTGAATGTGTTGTCAGTTTTTCAAATGAAAAACCTTATCAACTATTTCAGACAAGAAAATGTAAATTAAAAAAACCACATCTGGACACCCTACCCATTGTCAAGTTTTTTAAAAACAGGCATTCACGAGGCCCCTGGGTCACCTTTTCACCTGCACCCACATCGTGGTTCCTGTCTCAGTCCCATTCATTTTAGGCACCTTTAAATATATGTAACCCTAATATAAATATTTTATATAGTATGTTGTATATGGTATACATATATATAATATTGGTAACTGAAACTAAAGTCTCCATAGTAGTTAAGCAAAGAGCTTATCAGAGAACCATCGTGAGGATCTGGATTCAGGATAACAACCCAACGGGGCTGACTCTGGCAGCATATGTCCAAGTTGAGCTTATAAACCTTGTTACCGAGCAGCTTCTGAACCATTTATGGTGAGGTAAACCAATACTACCTCAAGAAATGAATTAATTAAATAACAACAAAAAGGAACAGTGAATGTAAAAATAAATTATTCTTGGGCTGCTGGTTTTCTCATTTCTTACATTAGGCCTGAAGAAATGTGGGTGCTGTCTGCAAAAAGAGGGCCCAGGGGTCTAATTAACCCTTAACCTGACTCCTGAGGACTGCATGGTGGGGAAGCAGGACCAGGTCCCTGCTGCTGTGTCTTCCAGCTCTGGCTTGGCCATGGCAGCTGGAGGTTGTTTTTCCTGCAGCGTCAGGTTCCCGAGTGGCGGCTTCACATGACAGGGGGAAACTCGCTTTTTCCCCTGCCCGCTGGCCAGGGGGCAGTTCAAGTGGACAGCTCCCTACGTGGTATCGCTATGGACCTTACGTAAATGCTGTCACGCGAAAAGGAGCCTGCTGCGACTTACTGTCTCAGAAATTCTCCCAGGATGACATTTCCAGTTCTGTAACTGTCTCGCTTCTGTCCATGTTTCCAAATAAATTTTAGGATGGGTTGTCAAATTCAACAAACCATTATGCCAGGATTTCCATTAATTTGGGGAGAATTAATAACTTCCAAAAGATCAGAAATAACTTTATTACATTTATTCTAATTTTTTATATTCTCATTGCTGCTAGCAATTTTTTTTTAATTTCCTCTGCTGTGGGTGAGGTGTGCAGAAATGCAATTTTTTTGCATGTTCATTTTATACCCAAGTTCCCAGGTGAACGCTCCTGACTCCTCTCATATCTTCATGGGTTCTTCTAGTTTGTCTCATAGATCGTAAGATCACCTCATGGCAAGGACACTTCGGCAATTTCCTTTCTGATCACTGCACATTTCCCTCCTGCTTTCTCCGTGTTAGATGTCGGCAGGACTCCCCACAACAATGCTGATCAGGAGTTCCCGTAACAGCTACCCTCGTCTTTCCTAAGTAAAAAAATGTTCCTAACATTTCACCATTAAATGAGGCGCTTGCTGTAATTTTTCAAACCAGTTTCATCATGATCAGGGCTTGGTACTCTAAGGAGTTTTTAAGAAAACATCATAATGGCAACTAGAAATTATCGAATGACTTTTCTGCATCTTCCTGTGGTGACAGATTTCCTAATCTGATAATGTGGTGAATTCTATTGATAGATTTTAATAGATTTTCTGATGTTAAACCACCCTTGGCTTAACCCAATATCATGAACCCAACCTGGGCTGGATTCTGCCTTATGATATTTTGCTGAGGATTATTTCATCGATGCCCTTAGGTGAAACTGGCCTGACCTTGTGCTTCCGTGTTTGTTCCTGTCTGTGGTGAGGTACACAGTGTTCGGTCCTTTCTGCTCTCAGTTCAGGTGCCCAAAGCGAGCCCAGATAACCATCTGTACTGCTGACTGGCGTCAATCAGAAGTTTCCAGAACTCCCTTCCCTCCGCTTCAATTAATTTGCCAGAACAGTACATAGAAGTCAGGAAACCTATTTACTCACTAAACACGATTCTGGTAAAAACACCACAGGAAGGGGGTCAACAGCCAGAGGGCAGAGATGGGGGAAGGTATGGGACTCACGTGTCCTCTCCATGCCCCCTAGTCACCAGCTGGGAGCTCCGAAGCCCCAACTTGGGCGCTTTCATGGAGGCTTCATTACATGGTGATTAACTCTCCGGCCACTGGTGCCTGAACGCAGCCTCCAGCCCCTCTCCCCTTCCTGGAGGTTTCGGGGTGGGACTGGTTTCCCTGGCAGGAGACACCTTTAACACACACAGGAAATTCCAAAGTTTGGGGGAGCTATGGACAAGGAATGGTTGGCGAAGACCAAATATATATAAGAAATGCCTCTGTTTTCTATAAATCACAACGCTGCGGTTTCCGATACGCAAGCTGCCTACCTTGCTTTGGAGCTGCGGAGTTTCCCACTGGGAGCTCATGGTCATGGAGCCTTTTCTCTGGAACAGGCATTGCAGGGCGGCTTCCAAAGACCCGTGGGCGCCAAGGACCAAGATCTTCTTTCCATGCAAGTCGACACCTACCCACCAAATGGAAATCAGGATTATGATCAAGAATTCAGAGGGGCCTCCCTGGTGGTGCAAAGGGTTAAGTCTCAGCACCATGAAGCTACCAGCAGCCACTGCGGCAGGAGTTCCATGCCTGGCCAGGGAGCTACCCACAGGGAGCAGCAGACCTCTCCTGTCTCCCCGCTGCTCCCCTCAGCAGTGCATTTCAGTCAGTCTTCCTGTTCTGTTCCTCACTCTGTCTCTGGTGGATCCTCTCACCCCCTGTACCTCTGGCCTGTACCCCAGCTCTTGTATACATAAATAAATAAAAATCAATCTTTAGACAAGACTGCAGAGCCTTTCTCCTCTCAAATTTAATGAGGGGAAAAGAACCTTCTAAAACCTGGCCCTGAGCACGGGTCTATACTGGCAATATAATCATAGCTGACTCTTGGAATGAATCATCATCCTTATAGTTCATATGGAGAGACACCATCAGTATGGATTTCTTCAGGGATCTGAGCTTAATGGTTAATGTTCCCAAAATAAATCTTAAAAGTGAACCTTCTAGGGGCTTCCCCCGTGGCGCAGCGGTTGAGTGTTGGGTTGCGAAGCTGCCTGCAGCCTCTGCAGCACCGGTTCGATCCCCGGCTGCTCCCCGGCCACCGGAGGAGGGTCCCACATGGCGCAAAGACCTCTCCTGCCGCCCGCTACTCCCCTCAGCAGTGTCCTTCGGTCCTTCTGCCTGCTCTGCTCCCCGCTCTGGCTCTGGTGAATTCTCTCACCCGCCCGCGCTTCTGACTGTACCCAGTGCTTGTATAAATAAATAAATAAATCTTTAAAAAAAAAAAAAAAAAAGTGAACCTTCTACTAAAATGTTGGTACAGGGCCTCCCTGGTGGCGCAGCGGTTGAGCGTTGGGTTGCGAAGCTGCCCGCGGCCTCTGCGGCGCCGGTTTGATCCCCGGCTGCTCCCCGGCCACCCGAGGAGGGTCCCACATGGCGCGCAGACCTCTCCTGCCGCCCGCTGCTCCCCTCAGCAGTGTACTTCGGTCCTTCTGCCTGCTCTGCTCCCCGCTCTGGCTCTGGTGAATTCTCTCACCCTCCCGCGCTTCTGACTGTACCCAGTGCATGTATAAACAAAACAAACAAATAAATAAATAAAAACATGCCTCTATTTAAAATGTTGGTACATATTTTTGGAATTTTTGTTCGACTGTTGTAAGTTCAGGTGCAGGGGAGAGGCATTTACCTCTTTTTTACTCAAGCTGGAGTAGTTCCATTTTTATGTACTCAGCTAAAAACTCAAGTAAATAAAATACTTAGTAATAATTTACTCAGTAAATTTAATAGCCAAGAAAAAAATTATTCATTTCTATTTCACTGACACAAAAGTGCAAGGTCGAGGGGAGGGAGCTGGAAGGACTGATGAGCGCTAACACCACTCACAGGGGCATCCCCACCGCCCCTGCCGGCTTCTGCGCGTGTCTTCCCTACAAGCCTTTCCGTGGTCTACATGAGAATCTAAAACTTGACACATTTTTCATTCTGGTGATTTTTTTTTTTTAAGATTTATTTATTTATTCATACAAGCACTGGGTACAGTCAGAAGCGCGGGAGGGTGAGAGAATTCACCAGAGCCAGAGCAGGGAACTGCAGGCAGACAGACAGAGGATACTGCTGAGGGGAACAGGGGTTGGGGCGGCAGGAGAGGTCTGCCCACCATGTGGGACCCTCCTCCGGTGGCCAGGGCGCAGCCGGGGATCGAACTGATGATGCAGAGGCTGCGGGCAGCTTCGCAACCCAGCGCTCAACCGCTGCGCCACTGGGGAGGCCCTTATTCTGGTGATTTTGAGACGCTGATAATCTGTTTAAAATGAGATCACTGTTCCCATTTGTCTTCTAAATTGTCATCCAGTTAGTCTGAGAAAAAACTGCTGCTGCCTGTCATATCTCCCTGTAAGAGGGGAAGAAAAAGCCAACCCCGAGTATCCCTTTCACTGTCCAGTAGAATTCGATTCTAGAAACAAATCCTTACCCCCAAATTAACGCAAATACCGGTCAACAAGACACGGCATTTCTGAAGCAGCGTCCTACCTGACTTCTCAAGAAGTTCGATCACAGCTCTGGCGACCGGGGAGACGAAGCACTCCTGGGCGTCTCCGCGCACCAGCCGCCCCAGGTTTATGTCTGTCAGCCTGAAACCAAAAACAAGGGGAGCAGTGGGTCAGAACTCACACAACTGGGAGTCACACGTCTAATCCCAAGTAACACCCACGCCAGGGCTTGATAGGATATACCAAATAGTTAATCTAAATCCAAGAGTGGGCAGGAATAAAGGCCCTTTGTTCCTCAGAGCTGCCCCTAGGGGAAACTTCAGTGTGACCCCAGTCGATGACCTTGGTTCTGCTGGACTCAGGCCCACAGCACAAGGCCACGCGGGGCTGCCCCCCCCCACACCTCAGGCAGCCCCTCAGGGATGGCATGGAGCAGCAGGCCTGGGAGTGAGCAACATCAAAGAGCCCACGGCCCTGAGGAAACTGAGAACGGATCCTAGAAGTCTGGGATGACCGAGCAAGAACTGGAATTCACAGGCCTTGGCTCCACGGAATGTTGTATCAGCGCTAAATTTAAAAGCTAGGCCCCTGCTCCTAGGCCCTTTGTTTCACTGTCTTGTCCAATAGGCAAGCTTTGGATAGGCAAGGTGGCTCGAATGGATAAAGGGAGTAGATGGGCCTGCCCTGGGAACCAGGACACTACGCTGATGATCTTCTATCCTAAATTGGGATCATGAGTCAGGACACACCCAAGTGATGTCTGGAGTGTGAACAGAGCCTCGGGACCCTCACTCTCTGCACGCAGACCCCTCCCGTCTCCCCGCTGCTCCTTTCAGCATGTATTTCAATAGATCCACCTTTTCTGTTCCCCTCTGGGTCTCTGGTGAATTCTTTCACCCCCGACCCTTTGGCCTGCACTCCATTCTCCCCATAACATTAAAGTCAGTGTTTTCTTGCTTGGAAGATCAAGAAAAGTGTCATGTGCTTTCAATGGCTTCTGTGCTCTTTCTCATTGAAATCTGGGACAAAATAGTCCATAACTATCTAGTCATACTGATGGTCTTGATACAGGTCAGTGACAAAAGAGGATGTTTAGGGAAATGTTCATAATTTCCTTTTTTATGAAAGATGAGAAAATACACATTGGCACCTTCAGGTTCTGGAAGTTTTATACTTGACTAGGGCTTCTTTTTCCTTTAGGGCTGGTCTACTCCAGAATCAGAGATGTTCACAAGTTTAAACCTATGTGTGCATTTAAACTGAGTCACCACAGGCCTAGGACAACGGGTGAAACCTGGGTGTCTCAGCGAGGCCACAGTCGCTTCATCCAGCCTCCGAAAGACAAACCTACATCTCTATAATGCTAAATAGATCGTATTCTTTTGGACCAAAGTATAACAAATTTTCCATTTCCATGTAGGAAAATGAGGTTTTTAACCCCAGGAAATGTCCTGAACTCCTACACGGATGGCAATACTCACTGTCCCTTGAAGTTGTCACACCAGCCAAGTCCAACAGACACCTGATATTTACCTGAATTTTCCCCTCAAATTTTAAATAAAATCTTGTATTATGAATACATGTTTTATTTCTCTCAACTGGCTGGAGACTGAGGCAGAATGGGGTACTTCTGGGGAATCAGATTCAGGGATTTCTCCCAGGGTCTAGAAGGATTATCCAGGAAATTTATTATGAGAAGAGCCGGCCAAGAACTCTTAAGTCAGGAGCTTAGCAAGTGAATATGGTGCAAGGAAATCATTTGCGAAACAGCACCCAAGCACTCTAAGAGGGCAAGCGTGTCCCCCCAACTATCTAACTTTCTTATACAAAATTTTAAAAGTCCTCAAGGCCTCTCTGGTGGTGCAAGGGGTTAAGTGTCAGCACTATCAAGCTACTGGCAGCCACTGCAACGTGAGTTCGATCCCCGACCAGGGAGCCCACCCACATGGTGCAACAGACCTCTCCTGTCTCCCTGCTGCTCCCCTCAGCAGTGTATTTCAGTCAATCTGCCTGTTCAGTGCTCCCCATTCTGTCTCTGGTGAATCCTCTCCCCTCCCACCCCCACACCTCTGGCCTACACTCCAGCTCTTATATGTATAAATAAAATAAATCTTTAAAAAATAAATAAATGTCCTCAAACTCCTAAACCTCTGAAATGATTTCTTTCACCTCTTAGCTGACAGTTAAAACAGAAATTAAAAAAAAAAAAAAAATCCCAGTAAAAGAACTCATTTAGCAATAAGTGTCGATTTTCTTTCCTTTTTTTTCTTACCCATCCACATCTTTTTCTGGTTTTAAGGCATTGAGGACTTTGTTGGTAAATGAGTCCTCAGAGATCTGAAGCGCAAGCCCATGTACTGTGGGGTCCTCGTTGATCTTCAAGATTTCATCTATAATCTAAAGAGAGGAAAGAGACAAATCCAATTTGCAAAAAATAAGACCCCAAGAAAGCAGCCTTATACAAGAAATAATCCACGGAAATATATTTGTAACAGTTTTCTTTTTTGCTCCATGTGGATGGACAGTACAATGAACAAGTCTATTTTCTCTTTTCATCATGTTTATAAAAGCTCAAAAACTAAAAAGCATGACTGAATTTTTTAGTGACGTCTCAGTCTTACGGCTCTATTTTCTACCAGCATAGAACAAAACCAAACCTCAACAAGTAATAACATCTAGAGAAGCAAAAGACAATTCCCTGTTAACTCTTAAGTCAAACACCAGGTTAACTTTCAGGAAGGTCCAGAATCAAGAATCAAAAGCAGCCACCCTGGCCCGCCAGGCCTGTGCTCTATAGAGTGTTCCACAAAGTTTACTAAAGCTGACAACCAAGAAGTGTCACTTAGGCCCTTCAAGTTCTCTGAATCTGAATGACACACAGAGAGGCTTCTGATAATAAACAGGACAGATTTTCCTGTTTATAGAAAGTGCTATAATAGCTCACTACTTAAGAAAAGGACCAAAGTATAGTTTGGAAAGTCAACGCAATAGCTAATGCATGCCTAGGTGTGTCTTTAAATAAGCAATGCTTGGTTCTGTTTATTTCATGCCCAGAGGAACACACTGATTCATTTCACTTAACATTATTTACTCATAAAAGAGATACCAGCCCACGAATATGGATGGAAAGGAATTTGTTGCCATTTGCAGGTCTTGCCTACAGTGGGATTTCCATTTCTTTAGTTTGTGCTGTTGCTGGTATTAATAGTTCTTGACTTTTCCCTCCTTGACTTATTTTTTGATAAGGAGTCAGTTATTCCTCTTGTGCTATAAGGAAGCATTGGTTAATCATTTTTGTTTCACTGTCTTGCAAAAATCACCATGGTATTTCTACCTGGTAAGAGAAGGAAAAGCTATTTAATACACAAAATTCAAAAAGAAAATTTTGCTTCATTTATTTGTCCTTCTTTCATACATTCAACAGATGATGAATGTTGAGCACCTTCTAGTTCTAAGTAAACACAGTTGCAATGAAAACTGAGCTTTTACATGACAGGAACAAAAATTAAAATAATGCTAATACTAAAATCTTTGGAAGCACTAAGTGATGTGAAGAAAAATAAAGCAGGTTAAAAAGGGTAGGGGGCTTACAGCATGATTATGGATGGGGAATGGTCAGCAGAGGTGACATCTTAAGAGAGCCCAGAATAAAGTGAGGCTAGATCGTTACCTGTAACTAGCACTTGGTAGATGTAACAATGAAATCTTAATTCATAATTAAGATCCTTATCTTATCCAACACATGACAACACCTATAAATTCACACTTACCTGAATTTCAAAGAAAAATAGGGAATAAATGACTGTCAAAAAAAAAAGTCGATTTAGAAAGAAAAGTCAAGAGCTGTCAATACCAGTGGAAAATAAGTGAAAGAAATGCTAATGGCACTGCAGGCAGGGGTGTGTCCTTCTGCAAAAAGACAACCAGTTTCTTAATATTAGTGTGACAGGTGTCAACATTTCAAATATATTACAATGGTTAAGTACAGCAGAAACTATCTGCCAATAATCCAGCTTCCCTTCTTCCATTAAAATCAGCCCTTGATTTTTGAGTTGTGACAATAAATGATCTAAGGCCACAGGGAATAAGGACTACACTTCCCAGCCTCCCTGGCTGCATGGCCAACCACTGAGGTTCAGACCTATGGGGGTGGAAGTGTGGTTGTGACTTTCACGAAATGTCCCTGGAGGGCAGAAGGTAGGGGCCCATCTTTGGTCTTAGCACTTCCTTTTCCTCATTGGTGACAAGAATCTTTTGAACTTTATGTGCCCTGTGATCCTGAAAAAGGGGAAAATTAGGAAATCCCCTTACCCTTCATACCCCGATCTTCCCCAAACAGCATAGGCAAGAAAATGACACCCCCTGGTCTACCTAGACCAGACACAATCCAGAAATTCCCATCCTGTGTGTCATAAATGATAGCTGACCTGCTTATCCCCATTAAGCAATGATACAAAAATGCGTATTTAGCCACCTTTGGGTAAGTTACTCTCCTTCCCCCAGGCCTGAGATAGCAGCAGACCCCCTCCTCTTACACACAGGCTAGCCGCAGGGCCATTTTTGAGGAACATTCTTCAATCTACTCTCCCACTTTCTGTCATTGGGTTCTTAAAAAACAGTCCCTTTGGCCTATCCCTCGGAGGCTTGCCAGAGTGTTCTCTCCGTCGTAACCACACATCTCCTCATCAGCAGTAACTTTTCCAATTGTGTCTCTCCTTACAAAGTTCGGAATGACTTTTCATGTGACATTAGCTCGCCCGGCCATGTGATATGTGGAGCTAACCCGCCCCTTGGACTGCGGAGGTAGCACAACCAAGATGGTGGAGCAAGCAGCCTGAGCTTCAAATGACTCTGTGATGCCACCGCACCAACCAGGCGCTGCCCACTTCTATTCTTGTCCAAGTAAACAAACTTCTGTGTTACAGATTCTGTGGAAATTTTCTATCACGCAGAGTCAATAGCGAATCTTCGTCACAGCCGTTCTGAAGTCAAGTCAGCCATGGAGGGACCAGGTATCCCGTCTCCTTTCCTCTCCCTATGGGAGAGTGACTGCTTCTTCCAGGCGTGAGATGACCCTCAATGCCGAGGCTTTATTCCCTGCTGGCATCAACAACTAAATCACCCTAATAGCAGTGAAGGGGTCCAGTGGAGTTTTTTAATCAGCTTATTCCATTTTTTATTAGTTTTAGGGTTAGGGTTAGATATTCAGCTTTCTCAAAACACCAATGGAAGGATTTGCAGATGGTAGCCTGGAAGGGCCCCTGAAGATGGTCTCCTCCCAGTCCTTTATTTTATTGATTAGGTGACCATGACCAAGAGAGTCTGAAGGAATCACCCGAGTCAAATAATCTATAGTAACAGAGCAAAACCAGAACCAGTCCTCCCGACACGGCCGTCCGGGCGACTTCCACCAGCACACGCTTCTGCCACAGCTGAGAAACAGAACCAAGCCGCCAGGCCACAGCTCAGGTTCAACAGAAACACAGAGCAAGGGACAAGCACACAGTGAGGCGCCCTATCTTCCCACTAAAAGCGCCGCCATAAGCAAAGGCGAGAGCTGTTCCAGCAGCAGAGAGAGGATCATGGGTTCAGAGAGGAAAGCAAACAAGGGCTAAGTGCGCTGTGGCAATTACCTCATCCTTGCCGCTGTCCGGGGGAAGGCAAATGTGAGTGATGTCCAGACCGGCCTGAGAAGAGAACACAAGGCTATTTGTCACTGTCAGAACATGAATCATTAAAACTTATAAAAATTTAATGTCAACCATCCTTACCTCCTCAGCCAATTTCTGGTTGATTTCCTGCATCAAGTTATCGTCGCCTGCCTGAGGAGGGGGGTAAGAAGAAGAATGTAACAACAAAAATCTTGAAAATGCACAAAACCAAACACCGAGACTAACGCTACCATTATAAATGAGCTGCCGTTCCAAAGATGACAAGGAAAATGCAGGGAAAAACCTTAGTGCTCAAACAAGGGTTCATAAGAGCCGAAATGAACACACCCATTTCTCAGGCTTTCAAATAATGTCACTTTTTTACAAGAGCCCTCATAGGACCACCTGGCCAGCAGCCCCTTCTAAGTGAGGACATCCAAGACAGGTGACTTGCCCTTAGGTGGGAAGCCACGTAAACAGAATCCCAGAAGACCCAGGCTCCTGATTCATTTTCTTTGTATTGATTAAATTTCCTGATTAAATTACTTGGTACAGCAGCCACTGGGTTATCTGCACCGGGGATGTGGAGACAGGCCCCCAAGAATGCAAGCGGCTTGAGCACAGCTCTATAATCTTGCAAATCACAGCCTTGATGGAATTAGAGGTTGCTATTCGGATACGGGAAGTGCGCGCCAAAACTAACAGGGGCAACGACTGTGCGTGGTGTCAGCTTACGGGCTTGGCTATCTCCTCCAGCCCCGGCACCTGCCGGGGTAGCTGTGCCAATGAGGGTGGCCAACGGTGCCAACCACAGCTGGTAATGCAGGTCTGTAGCCAAAAGATGAACATGGAATGTGAAGTCCTCCTGATATGTAAAGACTTTTGGCTCTGCGCACTCACGGCAGACTTTCAAAGATTAGCAGTAAGATTACCAATACCAGGTCTCATCAAGTTTGTCTTCCACAAAAATGAAGGAAAACTTCTCTCCCCCTGTCATCTTCAAGTCACATCTGACGAAGTATTTATAAGCACTCTTGGACCACCACCTAGTCTGGAAAGGCAGCTCCGTGTAGCACCCACCTACGGGCCTCTGCAAGCTCTCTGTGGCTGAGGGAGACACACTCAGGCAGAGAGGCACCAGGCCTGCAACCCAGCACGAGCAAAATGGCCAGCTCGAGGGGCAAGGACGTCTGTGCAGCTGAAGCCGCGGCCAAGCCTGACTGGGGCTACTCTGACCAGAAACGCAGCTGGTTGTGTAGACACAATCACCTACACTGAAAGGTCTCCCAAAACAGTGGGACCCAACCTCTTCTTGGCTTACCTGAATGATGGCAAGAACCGGCTTAAAGGTAGGGTTTTTCTCTTGCAGTAAAGTGAGAACTTCTTTTGAATTCTCAATGACTTCTCTGCATTAAGAAAGAAAAAACACAGTCATGTCTTGGTTAATGAACACAAGGCCCTAGAAAGTTCTTACTGTAGGTGAAAGCAATTAGACAAGGTGAGGACACTCCAAGTGGGGCAAGCGCCTCCTGAATCACCCGTTGATGGGCACCATTAGCCTGTGCCCACTGGCCTGGGCCTGGTGTCGCAAAGAGCTGAAACGCTAGTGCCTGTACTCTGGCACGGTCAGCAGTGCTGACCTGTGGCTGGACACTGCTGACCTAAGTCCAGCTACCTCTAAGAGCTGGCTACCTCTTCTGATCCTCTAGCGTGACCTCCTGGTGCAGTGCCCTCTGGCACTGTCCAGTCTGGTGTCCAGCACTGGACAACCTGACCTTTGAGTAGGTGTTGTTTGCTGCTGTGATGCCACCCCAGCACCTCCGGCTGCTACTGTGTGCCGCCAGCTCCAGGCCCTCATGGGAGGGTCGGTGCCATCTTGCACGAGCAGACTTTGGGACTACTGGACACTGTAGACGCTCTGAGTTGAGACAGCTGTAGCCTTAGAGATGCTTTCCTTTCCCTAATTTCTCATTTGCTAATAAACCCCATCGCTGCACCCTGGGTCTGAGTGGTGTCTCGCAATTGTGAATGCACAGGTGAGAACACACCGGCGGTGACCTGTCCAGCCTGGGTGCTACTGACGTTTTCACTGTTTCAGAAACACTGGGGATGCCTCAGAATTCTCATGTCCAAGGGCCCCTTAGAGTCTCTTAGTCCAGGAAGGCCAGATATCTGCATCTGGACTTCCAACAAGTCGGAGCAGGGGCCGTCTCCACCTCAGCACCACAGGGGGAGGAGGGCAATGGGTGGGGGCAGACCTAGATCAATGAGGAAGAAGTCAAGCCCTCTTTCTGCAGCCTTCTGGAAAGATTTGTTTCAGAGACCAACCTCACCACCGCCTGCCCCAGGAAACGTTCCTCCCTTGGCATGAATGCTGAAGTTGGCACTCCCCACCCGCCAACGGCAGACAGAAGGCCTGGCCAAGGCAGGACTCAAGCTTCAGTGCCTTCAAATTTTGTTTTCTGTTTCCGACAGGCTCGAGCCCGCATCGTTCCTGCTGCCAGAACAGCTTTCAAGTTTACAAGGTGCCGAGTCAGATACCATCAACAAAAATCACTTGGGGCAAAAAAGGTAAAGCTGTGCTCCTCCCGCTGCTCAGAGAGGAAGACAGCGGACGCAGAGAAGGGTGCTTGGGACTAGCGAGAGGATCCCAAGTTTCCAGCCAGACCAACTTTCCACTGACCAGTGGGCCGGGGAAGAAACAGAGCAGGTGGGCCCGTAAAGGTGCATCACGAGCCTGGAAGATTGTGTTGTTTTTAGACACTTAGGAAAAAGCAAAGTGTTCATATTATTGTGCTGAATGCGCGAGACGACATGTGGAAGTTTACAGTCCACCTTACACGTAAGCCCCCAAATCCTCAGTCCAAGAATGTGTGACTGGGGGGCAGGGGGTTCCTGTTTCCCGTCTTTCTAGCCTGCTGCTGTGAGCCTCGAAGGGCCCTTATTTCTGCCTAATTTGGGAAGGCGGTGGAGGGTGAGGGCCAAGTGGTTCCTGACAATGTGCCAAAAGGCCCTCTGGGGAGCTGGGTAATAAGGTTTGTGTCCTCGGGAAAGTGAGTTAGTCCTCTGGGTAGGGCCCAGGGAATGTGCATGTTCAACAGGGAGCTCAGGAAGCTCCGAGGCACCAACCGGTACGGACACGGCCTAGCACTGGCGCCCTGGCCTCTCGGGGCCAGCGGGGAGGCTGGCTGGGCCTGACCAAGCCCAGTTTCCCCGTCTGTCCTGCGGGCATATCAGCGGTGCTTCACCCTTGTTCTCATAAATGTACAGTTTTTCCGTGTCCCCAAACTACCCCTGAACATCAAATGACACATTCGGACAAAAATAACTTGCCAAGAAATATCGGTCGCCTGGCCCACCCTCCATAAAATGAAGGGGTCACTCCAGAGATTCTCCAACCCCCACCGGCTGTGCCCACGACAAAGTGGGCTAATCCCCCGCATCTGGGTGTGCTGTGGTGCTTCTTCCCTGGCCCTACTCAGGACACGTACGGCAACAAGCAAAACAAGCAAGCCCTGAGTCACCAGGCCCAATAAAAAGCAGCACAGATGTCTCTAATTGGAGATTTTCCCGACCTCAGGAGACAATCGCTGCCCGCTCAGCGCTGGAGCAGCCACTCTAGCTGGGCCGTCGCTGACAGCTAAACCCCAGACAGTATGATCAACCGAGAGGACCACGGGAGCCGCCATCACCGGCTTATCGTGATTACCTCACTGGGAGGTGGATGCCGCCCTAGCACCGACTCCACTAATTCACATTCTCCGTCCCCTGCTGTCTGTGCTGGCAAGGATGCCCGCGAGCTGGGCACCAGGCTGCTGAGAAACCGCATTCCCGGGCCGCCCCTGCCGCCAGCGAGGGCCACGCCGAAGAGTCTGGGAGCAGCGATGATGTAGCGAGAACTCCCACTCAAGCACAGCCCTGGAAGCTGAGCCCGTTCATTAATAAAATATTCTACATTTCGCCTCTTCAGTGTTTCCAAAGGCCTGGGAGGTGCCTGTGTACTGCCCAAACAGTCTCTTCCAGAGACGCTCCCCAATATTCTGAGCCAACCCAGGTGGAGAACGCCGGGAGCAGCTGATGAGCTCTGGCTGGCGATGAGAAGGCACAGTGCATGTGACAGCGACAGCACATTCCTCTGCACGGGGGTTTCCGTCCATGCATTGTCCTCCTTACTAACAAAAGCTGAGTGCTGGGGCCCCTCAGCTACCCCGATGGCCGGAGAGCACATTTCCTGTCTTGCCTGCACTTGGATGGAGTCACTCAACTCACTCTGGCCCCAGGTTGTGGAGGGATGCTGTGGGAGGGGTGTGCCAGGCCCCTGGCCGCTGGAGACCTGCGCAGCAGCCTCCTCTCACCCAGAGGCAAGTGGTGATCAGGGATCAGTCACCGCCCTCCCCAGCCCCTCTGGACCTGATAGTCCAGTCATTTGGCGCATGTTTGTTAAAGCAGCCTCGCCCACGTCCCACTGTACACCCAGTTCAGATCTGGGAGCTTCAATCTTACTTCGTTGCATCTGATTTGAGACGCAGAACAAAAGACCATTGTTTTAGGGGAAAAAAATGCTGCCAGTCCAATTAAATGATGGTACAATCTGTGTATAACACAGAGAACTCATTTTGTAAGTACTGAAAGAATTGTTCAGACTTAGACATAGAGTTTTCTTTTTTGCTACAAACTCGTATACATGCATAAAAAGGAACACACACCACATAAATCATTTGAGGAATTCCTAAAACTTTTTACAACTAACAAGTCCTGGATGTGTTTTAGGTGTCCCGTCCCGCCCTCTCCTCCACCGCTCCCCCGCCCCAATATCACCCTCTGTGCTATCCGGGGTGTTTGGGATGCAGCATTTCTTAAAGCATTTTTCTGTCCCTGGGGCTTCACGAAGCTGCTGACACCCATTTTGCACCCTTTGATGCTAGAACTTTCTGAATTATGCCAGAAATCTTATTATTTCCTAAAATGGCCCTTCCACGACCTGATGGAAACAGTGGGGTTGTGGTTATCTAGCCAATCCCCTGAACTAACTATGCTTAGGGGAGTGCACTCTGTAACTTTTCTGATAAGTATCCATGAAATGAATCCAGGAGCAGGACACATGGGCTCCCCGCTGCCTGCTCCAGCCCACTCCAGGGAGGCCCGCCTCCTGCTTTCTCCAAGTCCTGGGGCATCGCTCAGAGGAAAGGCGTGTGACAGGAGGCACACAAGTCAGTTACAAGCACAGGACAGGCACGTGTTCCCAACGCGGCCCCGTCACCTGGCCGGCTGCGGGTGGAAGACAATGGAATGAAAGATAAATGCCAGTTTTGGAGACATGAAAAATGTGCTTCCCAGGATCAGGCCGGTATAGGAATCCTCGCAGCACCCTTAGGAAGTAGGGGGGAGTCTGGTTTCCATTTTGCATGGTCAGAATGGAGATCAAAGCACTCACAGCTAATAAGTGGTGGAGTCACATGGCAAATCAAGGTTCCGATCTCTCAACCACAATCCTAGGAAGCAGTTAAAGCACTTAGAGCTGCTTCCTTCTGTTCAGAACAGGAGCTGAGCAAGGCCCACCAATTAAGAATGGCTCGTGCGTTTTTAAATGGTGACAAAAAAGGAAAATGTTTTGTGTTATGTATTATAGGAAGCATAGATGTGAGTCCACAAATTAGATTTTTAATTTATTAAAAAATTGTATTCTTTTTCTTCTAAAGAACCCACCTCAGATCTATTTTGCCTCTTGTGCTGCAAATCCTGAAATATTTACTTACAGAAAAAGTTGCCACTCCCTGGTTTACAGTGGGGTAAAATAAAAAAATACCAACAGCCGGCACTTCACCCACGGAAGTTCCCGGGTGGTGCGTTTAGTGGGGCTCCCCCACCACCTCTCAGGGAGGGCATCGTTTTATTTTGTCGTTTTGTAGTGAGGGCTTGAGGTCTGCCCCCCAGGGGGATCTGACCCAAGCTCCTGCCGATCTCCAACTCCATCAGGGGTTGGCACGAAATATCAAGAGTGCATGGAGTCCACGAAGAACCCCAGATGGTGAGTCATTCATTCACCCCCCAAGCCCAAGCACGCTCTGCCCCGGCAGGAGGACCAGCGGCGAGGCAGAGGAGGGCCGGGCCGCAGTTTCACCCCCGACCCAGGGACGAGCAATGCACTCCACAGGCTCGGGGAGCGAGGCAGAAAACAGAGGAGCGAAGGGGTGCTGGGTGCTGCCTTTCCACTGTCCTCGAGCCCAGCTCTGCGTGACTACACGGGGAGACCTGCCCGGGCCGGGGCGCTGCCCACCTTCCCAGCCCAGGTGAAGCCAACAGAGGGCTCCTCGGGCATCCTCGTCCTGCAGAGCCGGAGACGGCGAAGGGCACTGCAGAGGCCAGCCGGCCCGGAGGACGCGCTGGCCCCGGGCTCGGCCTTCTGGACTGGGGGCCGGGGAGAGGGGGAGGGGGCGGGACAGGCGGGTGCGCCCACACCTCCGGCCACCACCCAGTTAAAACCTCCTCCAGGAGGGGCTCGGCGGGCTGGCGCTGGGGGCGCCCCCGGGGAGGCGGGCGCCGGCTCCGCCCGCTCCCCTGCGGGTGGGGGGGAGAAGGGGGGGAAGGGGGACCTTCCAAGGCCGCGGCGCCGGGATGAGTCAGCCCAGACGTCTGCTTGGCACGGGGCGCACCGGGCCCCACTGGGCCCCACTTTCATTTGTGCAACAAATGAGCAAACAGCAGGATCAGGAACTCGAAACACGCGCGCTCTGCGTGCAGGGGTGGCGGCGCTTCCGCCCGGCGCTCCCGCGCGCCCGCCGCCGCGCCCGGCCCCCCGCGCCCCGGCCCCCGCCGCCCGCGTACCCCTCGCCCCCGGCCCCCCGCGGCCCGGGGCGCCCCTCCTCCCCCAGTTTCCCGCCTTCCGCTGCGCCGCCCCTTTGTTAGTTCCGCGCCGCCCCCAGCGGTGCATCAGAGCCGGCGGCCGGGGGCGCACGTGGAGCGGCCGGCACCCGGCGGGTCGCCCCGCGCCCCGCCCCCCGCCCCCGGTGCCCCCGAGTGGGCCCCAAGACCCCCGGTCCCGCCACCCCGCGCCGCGCAGCCTGCGCGCGGGCCGCCCTGCCCGGCCCGTCCCGGGGCGCCCGGGGGCCGGCGGCGGGGCGGCCGACACTCACCTGACCAGGGGGGCGCGCGCGGGGGGCCCCGGGGGGCCCGGGCCGCCGCTGAGCGGGCCTGCGCGTCCTGCGGCCGCCGCCGCTCCAGCAGCCCTCCCCCGCGCCGCACCCCGCGCCGCCGCCGCTGCGGGCGCGCCAGGGCCCCGGGGGCGGCGCGGGGGCCGGGGGCGGCGCGCGCGGAGCTGGCGCAGCACGAGCGGCAGGCGCGCGCCCATGGCCGGCGGAGGGGGCGCGGGCGGGGGTCCCCGCGGCGCGGCGATGAGGCGGGGGGCGGGGGGCGCGCGTTCCTCCGTGGGGCGCGGGCGAGCGCGCGGAGCGGCCGGGGCGCCGGACCGGGCTCGTGGCGGGTGACGCGGGAGGGCGGGGGCCGGCCGGGCGGGGCCGGGCTGGGAATAGCCCGAGGGGTGGGGCGCGCCGGGGAGGCCCTGGTCCCGCCTCGGGCGCCAGCCGGCCCCGCCCTGCCCGCAGGTAGCGGTTTGTGGGGCGCGGGCCGGGGCGGGGGGGTCGGGCTGGGGGTGGGGGCGGGCCGGGCGGGGGGGGTCGGGCTGGGGGTGGGGGGGGTCGGGCTGGGGGGTGGGGGCGGGCTCGGGCGCGCCTGGCACGGAGGACCCTGGCCGCGGCCCGCAGCGCCGGTGCCTGGACCTGGGCGCGCAGCGCGGACTCTGCGGGTTAGACGAGCCCCGGCGGCTGCGCGTCCTGGCCGCGGGGTCCGGGCTCGGGGCTGCGCGTCCTGGCCCCGGGGTCCCGGCTCGGGGCTGCGCGTCCTGGCCGGGGGGGCTTGGCTGTGACAAAGCTGTTTGGCTTGAGCTCGTTACAGTAACTTGTTTTGACGAAAGTGCTTTGAATCTGGAGAGCAGGACTTTCCTCTCCATCTGAACAGGAGGACCACGTGGTCAGGGCTGTCGTGCTGGGGCGTCCACCCTTAGAAAGGTGTGGGGGGAGGCGCTGTGGCCAGGGGGATGGTCAGGGAGCGTGAGCACAGCGGGGAGCTTCCCTGTCCCCTGCCCCCCTCGGGAAGCGGGGAGCTGAGCGGCCATAAGCCGAGAAACCCTGGAGAGAGACAAGGGTGGGACTTGCAGAGAGAGGCGGGTGGAGCAGCGACAGGGGAACAAGTCCTGTTATAGGGCAGCCCTATATTGAACTGGGTGCCTGGCTGTGGGTCCTCACCCGCGCGCTTAAAAGGGACTTATGAATACTCCACTGCAGGCGCACACGAAAGGTTAATAAAAGGTTTATTCACAAGGGAAAAGGAAATAAGGAAAATGTACAACTCAGGGAGAAAATAGGGAAATAAAGTCTTTAATGCGTCCTACCGGATCCAACCACCTGGAAACCCAAAGGCACCCTCAGAGCTGGCGGAGAGCCAAAATGGGGGACCCCTCCAAAAACCCACGTGTCTGGTTTTATACCAACCTGGCTGCTTAACCCCACCCTCAGGTCCCAGCCACCTTCCCTTGGGTGGTGATGGGATTTGGAGTTCCCGGTGTCTTTGGCCTGGGGTGGAGTCCACAAAGCCTGTATGGAATTAGCTTTAGAACATCCTTTTCCCCCTAACAGTCCTGCCGGCTGCTGGTCTTGGGCCTGCAAGTGACCCCGGGGACATGGACGGGCACACCTAGAGACGCTTGGAAGAGACGTGGGTGAGACACACATGGGGAGGCTGACGCTGACAGTCGTACTTACATTTGTTCCTTGATTCTGCTCCTTTCATCCCAGACTGGCCTGACTCCTTTCCCCCTTTCCTGTGGGTCCCCTCCAGAAGGTGCCTTAGACTCCTGGCAGGCTCTTGGGCCTCTGGGGCCCCACGTTGGGCCAACCCTGTTTGGCTGGGCATTTACCCACAGGAGGTAAATGGGTGGTTCTTGGGGAAACTCTTATACTCTCTTCTCTCTCTGTGCACACTGATTCTGCTGTTTCTTCCACAGTAAGAGGATGGTTTTCCTTTGTGCTGTGGCTCAAGTTTGGAGTGTGCAAGTTTGGAGGTCCTGGGGTGCTACTCAGTCTGCCTTCTAACAGTGATGATAACCTCAGGGAGATATAAAAGTCAAGTATAAGTGTCTGCGAGGACCTACTGAGAGTGTTAGGTCTGGCCAAGAGCACTCTTTGCTGATCTAAGTAGGTCTCTTGGGGACCCTGGAAATCAGCCCCTCCTAAGGCAAGGCCACTCTGTAGTCGGTGGTGGAAACCATGGCCGTGAGGATCATCCTGCCGCCCCACCAGCGCAGGTGCTCTGGCCCCTCGAGCTCCTCAACAGGGGACTTTCACTTTGGGCCAGCAGCTGGACGTTTGTTCTTGGTTGGTTAATAGCTGACTTTTTCTAGACTCTGGCAGAAAGTCCACCTCAACTAACTTTGACACTATTCCTTTCATCTCCCTAATGGACAATGGTGTGATTCATCTATTATGGGTTTAGACTATGTTATTTCTGTATTGGCTTATTATGAGGCATTTTCCTATAGGTTACTGGCTTGGAAATGTTATTATTATAAATTATAATTCCCACAGTGACTTTGTGTTGAATAAATTATTGGCAACAACAGTCTCCAGTCTCCCTTGTGATTGTAATACGGTGTGGACACGGTGTCACTTAAAAAGAAATAATGATACTTTGTTTATAGTCTTATCTGGAAATTATTCCCTTACCAGGAAATTATTATAATTCCCAAGCAAAGTGGGAATAAAATGAGCCCACATTATAAACACTGGCTTTCCATTGTCAAAACCAGGTGCTGAGAGACACCTGATTGAATCCTAAACCATATAATGACTTGAGCATTATACTGATTTTCAGCCTGGGGGAACTGAGGCCCAACTTGACCTGAGTACCTTTAGAGATCCTTCTACCACAAAATAACAGAGTACACATCTTCCAGTGCATAAGGAGCGTATGCCAAGATAGACTATATTCTGGATCATAAAATAAACCTCAACAAAATTAAAAGAATTAACTCACACAAGGTATATTCTTTAACCATAATTGAATTAATCTAGAGTTAGTAAATGAAAGATATTTAGAAATTCTCCCCATGTTTAGAAATTAAGTGACATACTTCTAAATAACTCATGATGCAATGAGGAAATCTCGAGGGATATTAGAAAATGACATGAAATGAAATGAAAATGAAATGAAACCACAGCGTATCAAAGTGTGTGGGATGTAGCCAAGGAATTAGTTATAGGTACATCAATAGTAAGTAAAAGATAACAAGAATGCATGAAGATGTGAAAACGCTGAACCTTTGTATTGCACACAAAGAGAGACTGAAAAATGAGCGATGTGGAGAAGGGCAGCCAGATTTTTGTTCAGAAGTGCCCAATGCTATACTGTGGACAAAGTGTAGTAGGGGGATCCCTAGGAAAGGGGGAGGTTTCAGGTTCCCTGTCCCACCCAAGGGAGGGTGGAGCTGAGCAGGGAGAGAAAAGGATGTAAAGGAGACTGAGGAAGGAAGGAAGCAGGATGGAGCCAGAAGGAGCCCTGGGGGAGGCACGTGGAGCCGAGAGACACGTGAAGAAACCGCGCTTGTCTTTTGGTCGTGGACGGGGTGACACAGATGTGGGTGAGACCCGTGGGGAGGTGACCATGGCAGCTTTTATCTTGATGTTGATTTTGCTCTTTTCCTTCCGGGCTTTTCTGGTTGTTTCTGACCCTTTTCTGTGGGTCCCCACTGGAAGATGCTTTAGACTTGTGGCAGGCTTTGGGGCCTTGTTCTGGGCCGATCCCATATGGATGGACTTTTACCCACGAGGGGACGGGTCACTTTGGGTGCTTCATTTAGAAACTAGACTCTTTGCCTTTCCTGTGTTGTTTCCTAGTTGTATTAAAGTTCCTTCCCATTAAAGTCTCCTATGTTTTGTGTTGATGCGGCGGATGGCAGAACCCATTTAGAACAGGCAGGTTTGCGGGGTTTGGGCTGCCCCTCTCCCTGTCCTATAACAAAAGGAGGTGAGCGCAAGGGGGTCATGGTCTACTTGGGTGAAAGACGGGTCAGACCATTGGATTCTCTTACACAGATGCCAACAAGAACAGAGGCGTCACTTGGAAAGAGGAATCACGGAATGAACATTTGGAAACCCCCAAGAAGTTAATCCCTGGAACAAAAATGACCTTTGCTGGCATTAAAAAGAAGTCAGAAAGGGCAGAACTGATTGCTTATCTCAGAAAAACTACTAATGAGTAAGAGTTGGCACTGCCTTACTTATTACAAAACTGAAATGTCTCAAGGCTTTCTTGTGTGTCCCATATTTAAATTGCTCTTATATACCAGGACTAGATCCTGAGTGACTAATAGACTATCAGTTCTGACACTCCTGATTTAAAGATTAGCTTGTAGTCAACTCATCAACTTTTTGCATTTTGATAATTCTGGCTCAACAAGTGCATCACTGTTTTCCCTTCTAAAGGAAGGGAAAATGATCAGTGATGTTCTACTTTCCACAGAGAATGTGAGTGCCATCTCAAAGCCTGTAGGAGATTGCAATTGAATTGCAAATATATTCAATTGCAATTGATTGCAATTGAATGCAAATATATATTTGCATTGCACTGAATTGGCTTTTCCGTTATGCAGAGCCTGCGCAGTAAGAGGGAGCCCCAAGACTCAGAGCTCTACCCTCCTGAAAAGCCGGGGGTGGGGGAGTGGGCTTATATCACATTTTGGGAGGAGGGGCTTGGGAGAACAAGAGCTGACTTCCTTTGCGTGGGGACACAGGCGTGCACACTTAACAGGAGAAGTGGGCAAAGTGGACAGAGAATTGCAGAGTTGGCTGAAGCCCAGGGGTGTTGGTAAGCTCTTGCCTGAGTGTGGGCTGGGCCTCAAATTCTTCTGATACGTGAGCACCTTGTGGACCTAGGTTTTCTTTGTCTGGAGGAGTAGAACTTCCTTTATCAGGAAGAATAGGTTGGGCTTGATATTATAGCAAAGGGTCCATTTGTTATCTGATTTAACTGCCAGGCTGGAGAACAGAAACTGGTTAGACTTGGTTAACAGATAAGCAGTGGGCAGAAAGAATCGAGGCTCAGTTTGGGATGGATTTCGACGTTTGGGGCTGGTTTCATTTATAGAGGATTTGATTCTGCATGTGTTTGGAAACATACAGACCAAGATTAGCAGATATTAAAGAAAAGAAACAACAGCCCAAAATGGAGTCCTTCATGCCAGGTCCCACCAGGACTTACTGAAGTTTCAGCCTCTCCCCTAAGTGGGAATTTCAACAAATCAATCTGGGCAGCACCAGTGAGTTCATCTGCATGGTAAGAGCTCTTGTCTTCCCCCAGGGAAGGTGGCTTTACCGGAAAGAATCTTTTCTTTTGCCTTCTTCTGACCATAAAACCTTCCATTTTGTACACCCCTTTGCAGAACCTTCCCACCTGCTAGATGGGCTGCTGCCTGCTTCATGAATTGTTTGATAAAACCAGTTAGATCTCTAGGTTTGTGAATTTTGCTTTTTAACCTTCTACACCAAGCAAACTGCATTCTATTAACTTATATCGATTGTGCAAGACTATTTTGCATTTATTAACCTTTTATCACAGCATAGTTTCTGTGCTATTAACCATAAGTAAGGAAAGAAAAATGAGATAAATTAAATATGAGAAAATGCTTATGTCTTCATACTTGGGAAAAAAACAAGCAACTGAAAAACAATACAGAAGAAAGTTCCAGGTCTCATAATAGGGCAGTGTTTGAGTTAGAGATATACAGTGGAAGAAGGAGGTGCCTCCTTGCAAAGTACCTGTCCCTCAAGAGGTTACATTAATATAAAGAGGTGCTGGTTTTGGTTCATGGACATGCATGTGTCTCCTCAGAAGACTACACTTTCCAGATCTCCTTTCTACTGTTGTTTATGCATAAGCCCATCTTGTAGGTGATAGCTGCTTGCTCTTTGTTTAAGGTTACCAAACTCTTGTGACTCAGAGAAAACCCTATATTCAACCTCAAGGTAGAACAGTAATGTAAGTCTGGTGGGTCCTTAGTGTGAAGTTTAGGAACTCTCTACTCATACACACTAAGGAAGAATTTAAAAGCCACTTTCCTCTATATGAAGAAAGTTAGACAACTTAAATTTTCATTAGAATTGAGTTCGGTTTTGTGCTTGTGTTTGGAAATAGACTTGCTTTAGAAAGTATCTACAATTAACAACTTATATTAACATAATTTTGTTTCCTATAAAATTATTGTCTATCCAAAAAAAAAAAACAACCCAGAACATGAAATTACATGAACACAATCTTACTTTGTGCCAAAATTTTTACATCAATTTTTGATTCAGTAATGAAAGTTAAAAGGACATCTTTTATTACTATAAGAAAAAAATCTAATGATTGTTTTAACTTAGCCACTTATCAGGAAAATAAATATTACTGCACACCTGGGCCTCCCTTGTGGTACAAGAGGTAAAGTCTCAGCCCTATGAAGCTATTGGCAGCCACTGCAGTATAAGTTGGATCCCCAGCCAGGGAGCTGACCCACATGGTGCAGCAGACCTCTCCTGACTCACCCACTGCTCCCCTCGGCAGTGTATTTCATTTAATCACCAGTCTGTCTCTGGTGAATCCTCTCACTGCCCCACCCCCACACCTCTGGCCTACACCCCGATTCTTGCATGCATAAATAAATCTCTTTTTAAAAAAGAAAATAAATATTACTGCACACCTAAATACAGTATTTCCAAAGATAGAGAAAATGATGTATCAGGTGCCACTGAAAAACAGCCTGACATTGTTACCTGAGCCATTTTCTGCTCATAAGCAAGACAAGTATTATAACTAAATGCAGTTTGGAATACTCTTGAAACTTTCTAGAACAAACACATTAATTTACACTATAATTTGCTTTGTCCTTTACAAACTTTATTAAATAATGAGCATTACTAACTTTCATTATCTTATATACATTATTTAAACTATGTTTTCTAGGTATTTTGCACAAAGAATAGAGTAGGTGAAAAGTGAACTTATAAAAAAAACTGAACATTTAATACAGAGACCTAATAAGAACTTGCCATACTTTTAAGTACATATAACTTCCCCCCAATTATATACAACCCTACCCCACCTCCAGAAGAAAATGTTTAAACAAAAGCACTTCATTGATAATTTTGAGGGAGTCTATGAACATGATTTTATACATATACACACAGCTCTCAAAATCTTCAACCTGGCAAACAGAAGTGATTTATAAAACTACAGATTTGTTCTAGAACCTAAAGACAAAACACAGACATTGAAGACAGCAAAATATTCACCTCGTGCAGCTGCGGGGTGGGGGGCAATGTAGGAGATATCAAAGTTATGTAATAAGACACTGGTGTGAAGAATGAATAACTTCTGCAAAGAAGAACAACAGCAATATAGAGACTATAGAATTTATGTCATACAAACTGAAAAGCAAAAATAGGACACTGCTTTCCTGGGACAAGAAGAGTCTTGTAAGTTTTACAAATGCACGTACAGATACCTTTAAGTCAAGAATATCATTTCTCGCAGTGTATCTCTTTTCTGATACTGCTTCATCTTACAAAGTCACATTATGTGCAAACAAAGGCAATGAAAGAAATGTTTCCAGAATCCTGCTATCCAACATGGATGTTGTTTTACAAGCTACAAGAAGAAAGGATGGGATGGAGATGCAAGAAACTTGGATTATTTTTTGTTCTTTGAAAAGCAAAACGCCTCTGTAAAAGGATGGCCTCATTTCGTGTTTAGCAGTTAAGAGGCACAGGACTTAAAAGGGGGAAAGAATTATAAGGAGTCATTGATTCAAATCAGTCTCACTGCTTACCTTGAAATGAAAGGCCAGATCCCCTTTCTCTACACATGTTATAACTTTCAAAAATGAAAACGGAGAGGGTAGAGCAGGGATCACAGAATGTAAAGTGGTTGACAAGGAGAACACACTGGCCACTGTTTGAGCAAACATTTTGTTGCATTGACTGGAGTCTTCAATAAAATAGTCTTTCAGAAAGTGGCAACACACATGGCCATCATTTTCCTCTTTAGCTTCTTTGATTTTGCTCTCTATTCACAAGGTCTTGCTTTCTCCAGTTTTCTTCCAAAAAGTCCTATTAGTACATAATATCACAATGAGCCTCTCTGAAAAGAACTTAATTGTAACAAAAAAGTGAGGTGCTCTGGGTCAGAGCTTAGTAACCCAAGACTGTGTCCTTTCTTGTGCCTCAACACAGTAAGAGGCCTCCATGCTCTACCTGGTTTAGAAATTTCAGTGCGGCCAACCAAACTTTCAAGCTGGAACTGGGTCATAGGGCTGAGTACTAAACTTAATAAAATACATAGGAGAAACATGAAAAACAGGAAAAATACAGGAAAAGTGCTCTGTTTTAACTTAGCTTGTGGTTTGCTTTGTGCTGATCAGACACGGCACACAAAACATGGGACGGCATTCCTGCTCCCACTTCAGGGGTCACACAGGAGACAGTCACATGCCCAGGGTCAGCCCATCTTTTTTATCGGTTAAGTCAAGTTGCCTATCCTTGCACTTGGTTTTCTTTAAACCATTAGGGGAATCATTTACATTATTCCAGAAATCAGAAAATGAACACAATGAGCAGCACATTCTCCAGGTCTGGTCCAGGAATACAGGTAAGGATTTTAGAGAAAATTGGTCCTGCTACATTCTATTTCTAAGGGTTGCAGTTTCTGTGTTGTAATGAAGGGGTGCAGGAACACCAGCAGAGAATCCCCACACGGGCCCTGGAGGCAACACTCCAATTGGCTGAACTGACTCTAGGATCATGGGGAATGAACATGTCAGAAGCATAATCCTTCAGACAGCTTCCCTTTTCCTTTTCAAGACATGAGCATGGGCGAAAAGGCCCTTTGGGTACTCGGACAAAACTACTCATGGCCCTAGACCACAGGAGAGATTATTGCATTCCATAAGGCCTGGGCACTGTTGTCAGGATATGGGAGAAAATATTGCCTCCATCATGTTTTAAAAAAGGCCTAAACATTTTCAAGTAAGACTGACTGACGTGAACAAGAAGCCAGCGTCAGGAAACCTGCAGTTTCCGTGCTGACTTTGCTACAGTACGATCCTGGCCGCATGGCCAGCCTCTCAAGGAGCCGTGCTGTAAAACAAAGTATAGTTTACACCTCTGGTTTTTACGAAAGGGTTTTCATCTGGCTCACAGAAAACACCTCACTGGTCTTTGTCATTGCAAGCATGCTAAGAAGTCAATTCAGGCAGCTACTGTGAGGAACCCTAGGCAAAGCTGCTTGAACTGAGACACTGAAACTTCTCCCTTAGAGACTGGACAATATTCTGCTGATTGGGAGAGGGACCCCTCCAGAGATAATCGTTCAGTTTGTCAGAGTCGTTGTACGGGGTCAGGTAAGGCGGAAGTCCAAGTTTGCCACCGATTGCCTTTTTTGGGGTGCGTGGACTGTTCGCCTCCATAATCTTTGGGTCAGATTTCTTTCCACAGCTGTGGGAGAGCTCTAACTCTGGCTCCTCCTCTTCTGACTTGATTTCCACATAGTCTTCTTCATCTCCGTCAGTCTCTTTGAAATTGGAAAAATAGTTCTGTGTAGCTATTTGGACATTTAAGGGGACACTTCTATTGACCACCAGAACCTTCTGTGAGTCTTGGAGGGTGAGGTCTGAGCATTTTTCAGAGCCCTGTTGACACAGGTCAGTGACACCTGGCAGCAAGTCCTGGTGGCTCTCACACCTGGAGCTGGCGTGTAGAGAGAACAGCTGTTTCTTTCCCACTTCACCAGGGTAGTTAATGGAGTCCACAGACTTGTTGATCAAGATGGAGGAAGATGACTGGGACCTGTTGTAAGGCTGAGTGTTTGTGCTGACTCCCTTCCGGCCCAGCGAGTTGTAAAGGCCCTGGCACGAGCTCTCTTTGTTGGGCTGGCTGACCACCACACTGTGTCTCTGCATGGGGCCCAGCAGCGGGTCAGAGGTTTGCAGAGAAGGCACAGAGCAAGCTGTGGACAACTGTCTAGGAGTACTCTTTATATTGATCTCAAAGGTGGGGTATCTTGACTTCAAGTCTTGCTCAGGCTGGGGACAGAAATCTGCTAACTCTCCATTACTGTAGGTTGAATGCAAAAGCCAGTCCTCGCTACCACGCTGGGTCTGGGAGGGTGAGGAAGACCTGAGGATGGAAGGTTCCTGAGAGATGGCCCAGTCATCCTTCGGCGTTTTAAAGGGAGTCTCTCTGAACACAATCTGGTCATACAGTTGGGAATACTCGGCAATCCTGGCACCTGGAAGGCAAATATTGTACCATAAGTATACACAGGATTGTTTCTATATGTGACGATTAAAAGTGAGAATATAACATTCTAACCAGCAGAATATACAAATTTAAACAGTAGAAAGGACTTGCATGTAAGTTTGAGACTGAGTCATCACCAACCACTAAGCAACATTAATCAAAGGCTCTAACGTTGAAAACAAAAAGACCACTTAGACATTCATTTATCTGATCCTGGCTTGTTGTATTTCAGCAGCAGGTCTACACGTGGTCACTATTTGTAATGAAAAACGTCAAGTGTTCTTTACAAGCACAAAATGGTATCTGTGTTAAAAAACACACATCAGAAAAAACAAAGCCAGCACCGACCCCTGGCCAACGGAAACACACTAAAACAGTCACCAGAATGGCATGGCTGCCTCCCACTACGTGCCAGCTCCTCACCCAGCTCGACTGCACCCAGACGTTTACTCTCCAGGGTCTGCTCTGGTTGACTTTCCTGCATCGCTTGCTTCCAGCCACCTCCACAGCCACTGGGGAACCAGCCTCGGGAGGTCCTCACTGCCTGTCCTTCAGAGCCATCTGTACTGACCGACCTTCATCACTCCCCATTACCAAGGAGCCAAGCACTGCGGCCTATGGTGCCGAGACATTAAGAGTGAACTATCCAGGTATATAATTGATAACCTGAGGCTCTCTGTTAGCTCCCGAAGAGGATTCCACTGGGGCTCTCGCCACTTCAAATAAAGCTCAAAGGCCCTTCCCTCTCTGCTCCACTTCTGAGTACAGGCATTTCTAAAGACATCAGCTGAACACTGACATGGGCATCCCTCAGGCTAGCAATGATGTAAAAGGGGGATACCAGAGATGTCAATTTCAAGAGCCATCTTCCCCTACCTCCCCCATCCAGGTAGTTACGCAACCACCCAGAATCAAAGAATTCCATGAACCACAGGCTCCACACAAGGGTGTCTGTCCCAGACACAGTGACCAGCAGGGGACGTGTCATTCTCTTCTTTTATAAGCTACGTAAGTTTTTAGTAAACTACTGTAGTAAATTATTCCTTGAGTTTAAACTAAATATTTAGTTGAGTTTCTGCTATTTCTTTGGAGTCTCTTTTCTATGAGGACAGAAAACAGTCTGGTTTATTTCATGTGCCCTTTAATTGCAACCACCTCAAATTTCTTGCTCTGCCCCACCCCAGTCAGGGTAAACAATGCTTAATTTTTCATTACAGGTTCTATATTCAGATCCTTTTGGTTTTCCAAGTCCAAATTCCTTGGAAGTACAGAGATGATTAGTTTAGAATTTCTAGTAGCAAAACCTTGAGGCATTACTCCTCAAAGGTTAAAGATACTTAATACCAATGAAGATTCAGCAATCCCTCACGAAGCTGGAAGTCTCCATGGCGCCTGTGTTAGGCGGCCTGGAATCTGTAATGTTCCATCCACTAGGAAATCCAACCCAAGACACTAGACCTCAGACCCAGTCCCTAGCAGACCCCTGGAGGGCAGCCTGCCCAGACCTCTCTCTCCCATGCTATGGCCTGAGTCCAGCCCCACAGCTGCAATCAGGAAGGTTCTGAACTTTCACAATTTCCTGGGAAGATGACAATTTGGGGAAAGCTGCGAGAGCTAATTAAAACATTTGGTTGGAACATACCGGTATCAAAACATAACCATAACGTCTTAAAAAAAACAGCTAAGTCTTGACTTGAAACACCGTCGCCCAGATGATCCAGCCTATGCACAGTATTTCTCATGCCTTTTCCTGCTTTATCATGCTCGCCTCTTCTTCCTGTGCTTGACCAAGTCCTACACATCTCTCAAATCCCTCCATAAGGCGGACCCTTCTATAAATCCTTTTCTGACAGATTTCTCTTCTATGAAGTCTTGTGAACATGTGTCCCATACCACGTAGCTGTTGGTTGTGTGAGTACATGCGTCCTGTGCTGCTTTTTTATGTGGGTTAGTTTATTATCCCAGTGAGTCCATGAGCTTTAAATCTTGGAGCACCAGCCCCACATTGTACTGAGCATAGTTCTAGCCAGAAATTGCTCTCAAGAACTCCTTAATCACACAGGTAATTTTTGGACTGCCTCCTTTTATTTTCAGTACACTGTTAAAGTGGATGTGCCTTTTCTAAGTTAGTACCAGCGAGTGGAAAGGTAACCCAGCAGTCAGTACAGCAGGGGAAGCCTTTGATTAAAATGCTGCCAAAAGATATTTCAAAATGGGCATTATTTGAATAAAAAGTATCTCACAAAGTAGATGATATCTAAATTGTTGGTTTTTTGGTCTCGGCTTGACCTTCTAAGAGGATCTCCGGCTTGTTTTTTGCCAATATGAGTAAGAGGCAGGGTTCCAGAGCAATGCAGGCCATGAATGAGAGCCCCTGAACCAAATGCCCAAGAACTGCCAGCCCACAATGGCATCTCTAGACTACAATGCTCAGTATTAGCCAGCTGGCTCAAGTCCTCCCTCATCCTCAGTTGTGGGATCAGCAGTCTTTACCGAACATGTACATTATCATTCTATGGCGACCCCGCAGCTGTCTCTGGCTTATTCCTCTTTTAGCAGGTTGAACAAGTAGAGTTCTTTTGATTATAGGTAAAAATCTGAGAGCAGTAAGAACAGACTGTTTTCCAGACAGAGAATTAAAATCAATACTTCTGATGTGGCTTGAAATGGAGACCAAAGCCTCTGTGCTCTTTGGCTTCCCTAGTTTACACAAGAAGCAGCTCCCCACACCTGTATGGAAATGTCCTCATGGCAAACATCACACACACCACACCAAAGGACCCCAGAGGCCTCCCTGGCCCCAAAGACTACCAGGAGGAGGCCTGACTGAGAGAGGGCGAGCATGCTACCACGGGCTGTAATGGGGGAGTGACTAGACCTGGTTGGGTGACTTAGAGGCGGAAATCTGACCCGGGGCCTGTAGACCCTGGCTAGACAGCTCAATAAAGGTGCTCGAGCGTTTCGGCAGGTGAATAGGGTGCTCCTCCGTCCGCACAGCACCGAGAGCAAGCTCCTGGCAAAGAGGCAAGGCCCACACGAAGAAGTCTGGAGAATCGGTCCGCGCGACGACGACGTCCTGTGCCCAGATAAACAAGAGAGAGAAAAGGAGTCATCATGTCAACTGATCGAAAGCCTCGTGGGCACAGGAAGTGGTCTCGGTGCACCCAGATGGAAGGCTCCTCAGGTCCGAGAGATGGCAGGCCCTAGGGACGTGCTCCTGCGGGCAGCAGGAGGAGACTCCGCTCTAGAAGATGCCTTTGGAGAGATCTTCTCCTCTTAGTTGGGGAGAACGTCGATAGTAGCCCACCATGTCAAGAGGACCCAGACAAGCTGAGAAAAGATGCTATGGGATTCCCCGGAAGACGCCAGGGGCAAACCAAAAAGGAGAACAAGCCCCATGTGAAAAGAAGCAAAAGAAAACCCCAAAGGGAAATGAACTTAATACTTAAAAAGGGGGGGGGGGTTTGGAAGACTATTCCAGGTAGCGGTAAAGCTTAAGGAGTCAGTATTGAAGGACCAGCTTCTATCAAGAGGGCAGGTATTCATTTTAATGGATGGTCTATATTCACAACAGCCTGGCCCCAACGATGGTCACTTTTACAGGGCGGTCTGCGGGCAGAACTCATCGGCAGGACCGCAGTATCACAGCTTTGTTAAGCATTAGCCCAGATTCCCTTAGTGCTGGTGTCGCTAACACGACTGTTTCCACCGCTGTCCAATCCCCCCTCCCTGCCAGTCTTCCGCAGCCGACTCTCAGTCACTCAGTCCACATAGAACAAGAGACCAGCTCAGCAATACTAGCACTGGAAAAAGGACATGAATTCACTCTCACCAGGAGAAAATGTATGTGACCTAATCTCCCTCACATTCATACAAAAATCACTGTTACCTTTCATTTAAAACGAACAACTCTAGGGAGTCTGTGAAATCCAGGGCTTACCTCCCCTCTCTTTGAAGACACTTTACTGGATGATTAACTCAAGAAAAAGAGTATAGCTTTAGACAATTCTAAAACTCTACCAAATTAAAGAAAAAAATCCCTATATATTTTCAACACGTAACTTGTGGATTTATTTTGGCCTCGGCTGGCCCCTTACTATTCTCTGGTGTCCACAGAGATAAAGACATCAAACCCAAAGAAAGAGGTTAGGGTGTCAACCTGGCCAGCTGGGCCATGTGCTCACGGAGCTTCTAAACCTCCTTGATAGAGAACTTCACCTTTCCTGTTAACTGGAGAATTATCTCCTGATTTGATTCTGAGGTGATGCTTTGTCACAAAATTTAGGGCAGAGAGTCTTAAAAGATGATTGAAAGGCCACAGTTTTAAGGTTCAGATTCCTGAGTGCAGCCCCAGGAATCGCTCCAGGTCTGGAGGTGAAAACCTCCTCAGGTGAGCACCAGAGTCCTCAGGAATTTTCTTTCCATGACAACCACCTGCTTTATTCATAATCATGCTCTTCCCGAGATGAGTTAGTTTGCCCTTCAGGAGCCTCTCTAACTTAGCTGGGGTACGTGCTTCTTTATAACAGAACAATGTCAAACCGTGACCACCTTGTCCTTTAGCCCTTGTGGGGTCAACATCAGACCTGAGATCTTAGTTGAGTTGTGCACAGAAAAGGCGGTGTGCCTGGAAGAGGAAACTTCTTAGAAGCGTACATGAGAAAACCGAATGAGATGGTGTTACGTACACAATAACAACTATTTAAAAATCCAATGACAGAAACATGTGAGAAAACACTGAGTCACAGAGCAAGCAGCTCAGAAAAAAATACAGAAAAGGACTTTGTCTTTGTAGAATAATCTCTACAGGCATTCCTGTAGAGATTCTAGAGCAGAGTGATCCTGCTTCTAAGGCCTGACGCTCACGCCCGCTTCTCCTCTCTCTCACACATTGCAGACACAGAGAAAGCACTAGATCCCCCAGGAGAAACCAGTTGCTATTTTTGGTTCACCAGTGAGCCAAATACTTCAGATTATATGAACATCATAACACCCCAATTCTGTAGTGACAACAGTACACACAAGACCCCGGAAACCCAATCAGGATCTGACTCTTAAGACTTTGGAGGTGAAGCGGAGATGCTTAGGTGTGTCTGCGTGTTCGTAAACCTGTGGTCTCCCTTTAAGAAAATGAACATCTGAGTGACAATGTTCTCAAGCTCTAAGCCCATCGAGAGCCCAGAAGCTGCTCTCCGCAAGGAAGACAAACTGTGTGGAGGAACCCACCGATAGCGGGCCCTCCTTGCTTCTTTTCTTCTAAGATGGCCGCCAGGTCTTTGTGCATGGATTTGTGTTGCTGGGAGGCCGGTGGCTGTTCCAGCTCTGGGCTTTTCACTTTCAGAAGCTGATTGGCCTTCTTGATCTTCTGACTGTACTGCCTGGCCATCATAAAGACCCTGCTCTTGGTCTTATCTGAGGCATCCATCCCAGGGTCAGGGTTTTCCAGGTCTGTTTGGGACAGGCTGCTGTTGGCCAGGTCATAGGGATTCTCCATGGGAGGCATTTCACTGGCCAGAGAGAGCTGGTGAAGACTCATGAAGGAGTCTTCCTTAGAAATCAGGTCTTCTTTGAAGGGGCAAGGAGACCTGCTAGCTCTGCCGGGCCTGTTTGTCGGCGGTGTGAGGAAGGCCGGGCTCTCGGGCAGCGAGAGGGTGGACAGGGCATGGGCTGTGTCCCTGCTCAGCTTGGGCATGCTGGCGGGGTGCAGCCGGCTCTGCATGTCATCTTGGCTGACTGGAAATGCCGCGAGGAGCCGCTCTCTGGCCTTGTCTTCATTCTTCTTGATGTAATTCTCCAAGTCATTCCAGATTTCGTCCACTTCCTCGGAGAGTTTGTCAGATACTGATTTGTCCGCCATTGACAAGTTGCAGCTGGGGGAGTTGTACAGCAAACTCAAATACTCGTTCTCAGTGGCTGCCTGGTGGTGAGGCGTTTCGTCCTCACTGAACTGGAGGCTGTCCTGGGAGACGAAGGGCCTGAGGCTGTCGCAGCAGGCAAAGTCGGCCTCCAGGCCGAGGAAGGTGCTCCTCTTGGGCCGCTTCAGGCTGCTGCTCTGGCCGCCCAGGGAGGGGGCCTCTGGGAGCCCGATGGTGTCATAGATGTTTTCTTCCACCACCTCAAGTTCATGTGTGCTTTGGTTTGATGCCTCTTGACCTGTTAGAGTTCCATCTCTTTTGGGGTACAGAGAGCTCTTATCGTAGCCAAGCTGCCTCTTAGAGAAGACTAATTCCGGGGTGCTCTTGGGGCGAACAGACTCCCTGGTGGACTTGAGGGGAATGGATTCAGCTGCCTCTCGTTTAGCAACCATTAGTTTTAAGTCCTCATAACTTATATTATCATAGACATGGTCTATGTCATCAATAGTCAACTCGATGGAGGACCCAAAGGGAGTCATTCCATTCTGCCCTTCGGTTTTGGGGTCACTGTGCAGTGTCCTTTGGGGGCTGTACTGGGAGCCATCAGCGTCCCTGATTCTGACCTCAGGGGCACACGTGTTGCTCTCGCCAGCGCTGCTGGCCCGCCGAACAACCCTGTGGCCTGGGCCGGGGGTCTCTGTGGACTCGATCTGGCCCATATGCCAGCTGCAGGGCCGACTGGAGGTGCTCTCTTCGCACAGCCTGGTGGAGTTCAAGTCCGAAGAGGAGAAGGATGGCATGAACATCTGGTAGTCGTCATCATCATCCAAGTTCTCCTGCGGGGAGCGCCGGCTGGGGAACAAGGCTTGCCGGATCTGGTGGTCAGTCCAGATGTTCCTGGCGGCCCCGCCCCCGCGAAGCACGCTGATGATGGCAGAACTGCTCGGCTGACTATTCCTCTGGGCGGGAGACGGCCCTGCTGGAGTCAGATGGGGAGATCCTTCCTCCCGGGAAACCTGAGGAGCAGAGAGACACATTGATTGGCCTGCAGCGCCATGGTACATAAACGATGAAGTTGTCTCATATTTTTACATTGCTTCTCCCCCCTCCCCCCAACCACAGCATAATCTTCACAGAGAAAAGTCAACACTGTTGACTTGAACTGAACTGAAAGTCACTTGAGATTTTTTGCAACAGGAATAGAAAAGACAGGAGCTAATATTTATTTAGAAACTAATATTATTTAGAAACAGGTGAGGTCACCTGTAGACATTCTGCAAACTTTAAGTTCACCATCACTCGGAAGCAGATATGATTACACCAGTTTCACAGAAAGGAGATTCAGATTCATAAAGATTCAGTAACTTGCTCTCCTTAGTCAGAGGTAAGGCTCTGACCCTATCTCTTGCTCATTGCAGGAATCCGCTAAATACAGAAAGCTCTGAGATAATTCAAATAATTCTGATGTGCAAATAACAGATAGAGATAATTGGCAAATGTTATATATATATAAATATGTCTATCTATCTCCAACGGTATCTGATTTCTATTTGGAACTCTACTCAGAGTCTTGTTTTTTAAAGATTTATTTTTTATTTATACAATAGCTGGGGTACAGGTCAGAGGCACGGGAGGGTGAGAGGATTCACCAGAGTGAATCAGAGAGTGGGGAGTGGGGAACAGAAAAGGCAGACTGACTGAAATACATTGCTGAGGGGAGCAGTGGGCATGACAGGAGAGATCTGCCACACCATATGGGAATCTCTGTGGCTGATCTGGTATCGAACCCACGCTGCAGAGGCTGCAGACAACTTCACAGCGCTGCACTCAACCCGCTGCACCACCGGGGAGGCCTCTACTCAGAGTCTTACCATGGTTTCTGATAGACCAGAAACCCCTTCAGGGGCCTGACTGTACACCCCAAAGTCTGCAGACCCACCCTGTACCCCATCAGCACTGCCTTGGTTTATAGATTCTAGGCAAAGAGCCTTTGTTAAAGGAAAGCAATTAAGTCTACTACTAAGCTAATGAGATTTTCCTTCTCTTTCAAAATACGCTTAATTAAATACTATCTAGATGCCCGTTAGGAAGTAAAATATGAGTGAGATTAATGATTTCTAATCAAAGAAAACAGTGGGGTCTTTTATAACTTGGAATTTTTCTTGATCTAGCTTGCTGGTGCAGAGAGGAAGTGGGTTGCCCTCAGCAGGTACAGGATTAGCTTCAAAGAGTTGAAGGGTTAAGACCCTTTCAAACTAATTATTATCAGAGGCCTATTTTCTGATCAAAACACTATTGTAACCTATTGGCAATATCAAATTAACAAGAATTTTTCATCACTTCTCAATGAAACTGGGAAACATTGCCTTGACTATCTACCCACCAATATATTTGTCTGCCTGTCTGTCAGGGAAGGGAGAGAAAAATTGAGAGGGTAAGAAAATTTCATCCTGAATGTCATTTTTTAATTAAAAATTTAAGATAAAAAACCTAATGAGTCTAATTCTTTGTTCATTTTTTTCCACAAAGAAAAACCATGGACCACGCATGATCTCAGAATAACTGAGCACACACACATATGGATGGATAGGTATGTATCACAAACCATATAATATTTTATCTATGGTTACTTATTTGTGCTATTTTTTGGTAACCCTTTAGTATAGCTCTCTCTCTGTCCACCTTAGATTTTACTGGCATACCGCTTTATAAAATGTAGCCAAACTAAAAGAGCATTTATGAGTGGGGTCAGGATACTGTGGCTGTGTGCTCAGGAGTGGAGAGGCAGGATCCCAGCCAAATCGTTAGAGACAGAACATAAAACAAGAAGCCACAATAAATTCTCTAGGAATTGTTACTTAAGCCACGTGATCAGCGGCCATATTGGATGTGGTTTGTTCAGGTCAGGACACAGCATCTACTTTACAGGTAATGCATTTGGATATACAGTTTCTTATTGAGCCGACCATTTTTATTCTCCCTCCCTCCCCTTTATCAGAGGAGGAAAAACCAAATGATAAGCAGAGTTTCATTATATGACAGGTGATCACACCTCTTCTACCAGCAGAGGACTAGATCCCCACCCTGTGACTGAAGGCTATGCTGTGAGAAGGTGGCAATCCTCAGGATGCAAGAGCTTCCATCTCACAGGGGCAGAGGCACAGGGGATTTGGGGTGGCCACACCGGCCCAGAGCTATACTTGGGGAACTTTCTAGCTTCTGAGGGAAAGGTGGGGTAGGTAGCAGTTCCTCAGATAATGTAGTTCAACATCACTTGTTTATAACATTCATGGAAAAAAGGAACAAAATGTTTTTCAAGAACCTGATTTCACTATATATGTCCTTTCATTTTAACTTGCAATTTCCAAGAATCTATTGATGAAGTTAAGTGAGGACTTGCTGTTGTCAAATGTAAAATATAATTTACCCTTGCAATACAGGCTAGGGATGAGATAGGTAAAGAAAGGTAATAAACATGTTAAAATAAGAAATATAATGGTGCTTACCTTTTGGATGTCTTGTACTGTTTCTGAAAAATAAAGGATTTTGTTTAAGTTTGAGGATTGGAAATTATCACACACGGGGTACACATTTATTTTATAGGACTTTTAAACTTTGTTGTTCATAATTGAAGCACAATAGGCTTCTGTACCCTGTAACGCTAATTTTCTAAAAATGCCTCTCAGTTATTCTAGCCGGATACCATGTATTGCATGAAAATGGTTTCATATGTCTGCGTGTTATGGGTCTTCCTTATCCCTGAGAATAGTGGACCAGCTCATGTGATAACATTTCAAAAGTTTCCCTCCCTCAGCCACATGCCTATGTCATGAAGATCACTTACACATAAGACTTTGCTTCTGCTAATTTGTAAACAATTTATTGGTTTCAACTGAAAGGCACGGCAGTTAGCCACAGGCTCCCGTGGCTGTGCTGTGTGACGCGAGTGGAATCGTGGTGAGAGATTTAATAACCATGTCCTTAGAGAGACCCTACAGGCACCCGGATTATGTGTCTCACCTTTAAAAATGGTTCAGTTACAGAAGCATACAAGAAAAACGTAATTGGACCCTCACTGCAAATCCCACCCCATACAGGTAACCACACTTAACAGCTGGTCCCATGCCCACTGTCCCCATTTAGCCACCAGCACATTTTAAAAAAAACAGAGGTGCAATTTGCAACGTTTTTCCTACTAAATATATGTAGACACCCCTGTGAGTAGACAGAGGTGCATGCCATTCTTTGTAACAGCTACAGAATATTCCATGTTGTTTTCTGGGGCATGCTAGGACTTATTTTACCCTTGCACACCAGATGGGCATTTTGAGAAATGTGCTATCCAATCACGTTACCAGAGGGAGAGAGGGTAGAAGTAAAGATGGATGTGGTCTAATGGTTGGTATTTTGTTTTTAATTATTTGTTTAATTAAAAAAAATTGGGGCCAAGAAAAGGGCCCTATTACAAATGCTGCAAAGAACACACACACACACACACACACACACACACACACACACGTGGAATTGACCAAAGTGAAATTGTTGGGTCAAGGTCACTATCAATTTTTGCTCCAAAAAGTTTGCAGAAATGTATGCACCTACAGGTGTGGAGTGCCTGTTTTTCTGTATCTTTTGGCCAAGCTCAGAGTTTTCTCCCCTCTATTTGTCCAATTTAAATGTGTGATTTCTCTGCTTAATAATTTGGGTGACTTTTTATAAATTTTGTGGGCAGTTGTGTTTCTTGTGAGAAACTGCTCGGTGATATTCCTTTTGTCTCTTTTTTTTGATGTATGGGATTTCTTTATATAATAGGGATGTGAGTATTTTTATGCTTGTCACTTATATTGCAAACATTTCATGTCATTTGGCTTTCCATTTTATAATAGTGCACCATTATTTATAGAATTATTCAATCTTCGATCTGTAATTCACCTAGTATTTATTTTGCATATGATTTAACTTGGTTGACGTCAACAAGAATAAAAACAGAAGAGATATTTTAGGACTTACCACTGGTCTTCAAAATTTTATGTGATCTTGAGGAAGGTTCTGGGAAAGAAATGACAGCATCATTGCAGAATCAGGTCAAGACTTTTCTCCTTATAAATGAATTATTAGTTCATAGACAAATAAATTACATTCTAGAAATTTTCAAATTTACTTAAAATCTCATTGCTTAGAGATACTTACCAGCAAGACACACATTAAATTATGTAATCAGGAATTGCATAGCAGAAACCTAACCCTACCAACTAGGGGAGCAATTTCCTTGGCCTTAACTATAAGCTGATGGTGTTTAATTTTATATTCTCATGCCAATCCCCTGTCCCAAGACTCAGATCTCTGATGCTGCCCACCGATCTGACATTCACCCTACATGCCCACAGATCTAGCAAACTCAACGTGTTTCAAACTCAACGTATCCGTCCCTCCCTCTTCCCAACCCATAACTGTCCTCAGCTGCATTTCTTATCCTGGGTTCAGTGACATTACCCCCCAAGATAAGGGATCATGACAGCTCAAATTTCTCCTGTTTCACTCATCACTGTCTTGTGGGCTCCCAATGATGCTCCACCCCAGTAGGCGCTGCCTGACTACTGTCTCCACCATCTCTCACCAGACGACAGAGACAGCCTCCTATGTGGTCTCTCTGCCTACTTTGTCTTCCACATCGAACCAGATTCTCTTGTTTAAAAGGTAAACATTTCATAATTTGCAGGACCAAGTTCAAACCCTCCACATGGCCCACTCTGCTGCCCATGATCAGGCCCTCGCCTGCGTCCCCTGTCATATCTCTTTCCATTTCACCTGGCCCACATCTACCTGATGCCCAGCATCACTGGTGGCCCAGCCACCCAAACAACTAGCAACAAAAGTCTGACCTAAGGCTCCAGTCCAGGGACCCAGCAGGTGCAGTTCCTGCACCACCTGCTTCCCCAGTACCAGCCTCCTCTCTCTTTCCTAGAGGGGGGACCTAGTCACTCCCCATGTTTGCCTCTCCACTCCTCCTTCCATCCAAACTCTGCCATAACTTATCACACATATCTGTATCTAGTCACTGTTTTGATGCTAGACCACAAACTCCTCGTAAGCAGAAATCCTGCATATTATTTATCCATGCAATCCCGGTTCTCAGCATAGTGCAGTGGATTAGGTAGGTCCTCAATAATTAATGATTTGAATAAAAAAAGTCTGGAGTTGGGTTCAGTTAAACTTTAGGTTTGAATAATCTTTTGCACGTGTCATTTACAGGATATAACTTTCCGCTGGTGATGGTTAACGGGTTTAGGTACCTGCAAGCTAAAGGTAAGATGCTACAAAACTAGTCGATTGATAAGTTTAATAGCCACTGGGAAAACAGAAAATTAAATAGAAAAGTGTATTCATATTGACGGTGAGCTCAAAACCTAGAAGGAAAATGCCTTCTTGTCAGACTGAAAGGGACTTTCATGAACATTCCCCAGAATTGTTAAATTTTGATCACAACATCGTACTCACCGGATTTTCTTCTCAGCCGATATGGAGCAGAACCATCTTTGGCAGCACAGAATGCTTTGGTCTCTCCCTCGGGACTGTAGCAGAAGCCTGGGTGATCTGTGAAGAGAACCATACATGTCTGTAAGAAGGAGGTGTTCAGCGAGTTCTCAAGAAAAGCAGGCGTGGCTGGTTGTGGATATCTAAGGATTTGTGCTTTTCATCGGCTCTGATATCATCCTGCATGCTGTAACCAGTGCTATATCTCAGACTCTGTTTACACAGGGACTTCTTTCAGGAGCAGTGTGTTAGCAAGTTAAGCTCCCTCCCACGTGCACTGCATTCTCTGTGTGCTCTTTTTTTTCATTCTCTAACCAAGAGCGTTAAAGGCTCTACTTCAGCATTACCCCCCAAGAAGGTTAAAATATCACTTCTGCGGCTCTTTGACCCACAGAGATCAAAACACAGAGGTCAGAAAACTCCATTAAAAAAACCCAACGCCCACATGGCTCAACTTGTTATCAAGGCTTCTTACAGATAAGTGGCTGGGGGTGCTGGGCCACAACAGTGGAGAAGACTTCTCTAAAAACGTCTCGAGGAGTCTGTGCCAGGCTGTGGTGCTGCAGGCAGTGGTGCCTTTCAGGAAGCTATGCCCCAGTGCGGTCTAGTATTTTTCTAGAAATTGCTTCTGTGACCGTGTGATGAACACTTCGACCATTAAAGGTTTTATGTCTTCAAGAGACATGCAGATTTTGGATTAAGAAAATCTGATCTAATTATAAATTTTTAAAATTTTTTTTAAAGATTTATTTATTTATTTAAGATTTATTTATTTATCTATACAAGCACTGGGCACAGTCAGAAGCGCGGGAGGGTGAGAGAATTCACCAGAGCCAGAGCGGGGAGCAGAGCAGGCAGAAGGACTGAAGTACACTGCTGAGGGGAGCAGCGGGCGGCAGGAGAGGTCTGTGCGCCATGTGGGACCCATGTGGCCGGGGGGCAGCCGGGGATCGAACCAGCGCTGCAGAGGCTGCGGGCAGCTTCGCAACCCAATGCTCAACCGCTGCGTCACCAGGGAGGCCCTGATCTAATTATAAATTATTGCAGCATATCCAGTGACATCCATTTCAGGACACAGGCAGAGACTGGTATTCTTCAAATTGGGGAGAAAGCTTTTCAGGGGTATCCAACATAGTTCTGAGGGCTGTAAAGACTACATGCTCTTCTCCCTTGGCAATTATATACATTTATATATATAACATATAATACAATTATATATATATTATTTATAGTCACAGAAATAAAGTCATTTGGTCCCACGGACTGGCCAACTCCATTCACATTCAGCCAAGTTCAAAGTTAAGGAAGACAAAGCAGCATGTTTTCTTAGGCTGGCTGCTCTAGCCAGGCTGGGCTCAGAAGAGAGGCATGTGGCACCACTTCATGCCTTGAAATCATTCTGGGTACCCACGGAATCTTGCTGGTTTCCAGGAGCACAGCCAGAGCCCAGGATCAAGTCCACAATGTTATGTGAAGTTAGTCACAGCAAGAGCAGCCTCTTTACCCCCTCTGCCTTCATCTCTGCTCCTCATTCTCATATGCCCACCCATGACCTGGGCTTCTCTTCAGAGTGTGCTATAAAACAAAACCTTACAGGGCCTCCCTGGTAGGGAAAGGGGTTGAGCGCTACACTGTGAAGCTGTCCGCAGCCTCTGCAGCACGAGTTTGATCCCCGGCCAGGGAGCTACCCACATGGCGCAGCAGACCTCTCCTGTCTCCCCACTGCTCCCCTCAGCAGTGTATTTCAGTAGATCCACCTGTTCTGCTCTCTACTCTGTCTCTGGTGAATCCTTTCACCCCCCACACTTCTGGCCTGTACCCCACTTCTTGTATGCATAAATAAACCTTAAAAAAAAGAAAAACAAAACCTTACAGAGATGTCCACTGATGTGGGGGCTAGAGAAGACGGGGCTGGGAGCCCCTGCTTGCACCCTGGTCGGGATCTCCAAGCACCCTGTTCTTGGGTTATGTTAGACATGAAGTGGGAACTCCATACCATGGCTGGGCTCACCTTTCTCCTTTTGTTTTATTTCTTTCTCACCCTGCAGAGTTAACAACTGGTTGGTTTGTGGGTAAATGAATCAGTATTTGCCACTGAGCAAGGGTTCCCCAAAAGTAAGTTATTTCAAAAGTTTTAAGTAAAAGCGTTTATATGAAAGGTTCTGGAAGACCTGGCTGTAAGTCTTAAAAGCACTCATTTCTCTTTCTGTTGTTTAATCTGGGAGGCCCCCAAGATGTGATTTATGTGGTAGAACAAGGTATGGTTTTATAGGAAAAACCTTCCATCTATCCTTGGCCTCCTCTTATAAATCTAGAAATACAATCACATGTGTGAGGTGGTAGGAATTTTAGACTTCGCTGCTGTATGAGGAAAACCAATAACCATCTAGTTGGTGATTCCTGCACATAATGAACACAGCTTTTCCCTCCGAGGAAATACATGACAGGACCTTCCTTGTGGGTGGGGTCTGGGTGGGAGAAGAGCAGACCAAGAAGAATATCTTACAGTGCTGGAAACTCAGACTGTGCCAGGACTCACGAGGTGAGGGAGGTAGACTCAAAGTTGCAACAAGAGTGTGTGTTAGGAAGACATTCTATGGCCTGCCAGCTCCATGTATTAAACGGTAAATAGAGCACTGCTGCTTTCTTATAGCTGACATTTTTCAAGACATTAAGGTAGAAATGGGAGGAAAACAAAACTTACGAATGGCATCCATTTCAAGTATTGCTTGCTTGGCCTGAAAGAAAGAAAGTGTAACTATAATTACAATGACCATTTTTCTTTAAATGACTAATCCTAATGTGGGTTTCATTTCACGTGAATAAGTGGATTTTTAAAAACTGAAAAGAAAAGAAAAGAAAACAAAAAAACAAAACCTGAGCATTTCTTTCAGGCATGGGATAGAAGAGCGCCCTCGTGTGGGGAGAGGTGTTACACAATTGACACACCACAACTAAACTTAATAGAGAAGTGGGAGGGAGAGAAAAGGAAACTTCTAGCAAAGGTTCCCAAACCTGACAGATCATTAGCATCTATTGGCCGGATTATTATAAAATGTGAATTCTTGCTCCCCAAGCCAGGTCTATGGAACCAAAACTCCCCTAGATTTATACCACCAGACCTCTCCCATATTGTTGGGGCTTTATGATTATTTTAAATTGATGGCAAGAAAAGTTGCTGAAAGTTTCCTCATTTTGGGTGGTGTACAGTCATCACCAGCTGACTCTCCTGCTCTCTAAGCACCACTGCACCCCCTATCTTTCCGTGTACCCCAGGATCTCCCAGAGGGGGAGAGAGACGCAAAGTCAGGCTGAAGGCCATGGCTCGTGATCCAGACTTGGCACATTTCACGCCCGCCTCTCAGTGTGTTTTCTCAACTGTCAAAGTTGCTACTTGGAGCAAATGACAGGCACTCAGCCCAGAGTTGCTGCCCTGTGACCTCAGGGCCTGGTCTGGGGAAGCTGGATGCTGGCTTCCTCTGCACACACATTTCTCCCTTTCTGCCCCGACCTTCTGAAGATGAATTCTCTGAGCTTCTTCTTGCTGCAGTTATTGCCACATGTTGTCAATGTTTAGGGGAAAATAAAAGATAAGTCAATATCCTAGTGTGAATCACTTTGCCGTAGGAGTCAAAGAAAAAAACTCCTTTAGGTAGTAGCCTTTCTCACCTCTTGAATGTCATTTTCATTTTCAAGGGTGGTATAACAATCTATAAACATGCTAAAAATAATTTAAAACTAATTTTATTTGCATTGTGTCACAATCTGTAATACTGCAGTAAAAAATACTTAGACTAAGTGGCAATCATTTAGGGAGGGAGCGGAAGGAAACAGCCTCAATGCAGTCATCTGAATTTCGAGAAAACATTTACATTTCTATAATATTCATATTTCTGCCATACATCAGAATTTCGGATTACTAATTGGACTTAACTTCAAACACAAATGTGGGCTCAATTTCTGTGAAATGCATTCATAGAACCATGGTGACATATGACACGCACTCTACCTTTATTCTCCATTAATTTGGGTGAGAGCTAGTTGATAGCTCATGTGGAGGAAGGGATGCAAACCAGGTCTGTCTGACTCCCAAGAGCATCATAACCCATATGGCTACTTCCCAGGAGTCCCCTGGTATCTATAAACCTGACTTCAAAAATTCAGAATTTCCTATCCACTCTTTCAACATTTAATTTTTCAAAAGTACTGCTTTCCCGTTTACCACCAGGGGTCACCCAGGGACCGTCACTGACATAAAGGCCTGGCGGGAAGTTAACAGGTGCTAAGTCAATCTGTTCCCAGCAGTCCTCATGTGCACATGTGGAAGAGTGAAAATGTAACCCCCAAATTAAAAAAAAACCTGAAAACTAAAAACATTGTCAAGTGTCAGATGGGTGATACATTTTTGGATGTCTATAATTTCCCTAATGCATTTCTTTAATTGGAAAAAATATATTTGAAAGTTTCAGGAAAATAATTGAAGAAATGTGAAAAGTTCAGCTTAGTAATCCTGCTTAAATAACAGAAAATTATTGAAACCTTATAGTTGATAAATTATATTAAATAAGTGTGTTTTTATTGTCACTGGGGGCCAAGTGATTACAATGGTCTTGGGAGTCAGCCAGACCCGCGTTTGAATCCAGGCTCGGTCATATATTCGTTGCATCTATTTTGGCAATTAGTTTAAAGTCTCTGAACCTCTATATTTTTATTCTTCTAGAAAGGAAAGAGTAAAACTTAATAAGGTTTTTTTCTTTTTTTTGGGCTGAGGGTGACATAAGAAATATAAAGTCTGTAGTATAGTGTATGTGTATGTTCAAGAAGCCTAAAGCTGAAAAATTTTTAGATTCTTAAAGGATCAGGAACTTGAGCAAAAAACAGTACAATTTTCCTGTGACCAATATTAACCACTGTAACACATAAAGGTAAAAACTGCCCGGAATACACACACCCTGCGTGGGAGAGGGACAGGTATGTCAGCTGGTTTCATTTTGCAATGGTCTGTAGTTGCCTTTGGCAGGGCTGGTTTTGCCAGGAGACAGGTAAACACTAGGTGGGGCATATCAGAGCTACTTTGCCATTGCTCAGAAGGGTATCCCAAGGCACAAGGCCAAAGACCAAATGACTATCCACGAAGAAAACATGATCACCTGTCTGCCTGAGCAACCTCACGTCTCCTGACACTCTGATGAAATGGGACTGCAGCTCAAGTCAGAGCACACACCTATGGACAACCATTCCTGGGGAGAGAATCACAGCTGAGAATGTGTTTGCAATGCTTTCCGCGAAATAGACAAGGACCAAAACTGACTCTCCTTTCTTGGAAATCCCAGTTCCTTCTTCCATCCAGTTCCACCCTCACTCATGGTCAACAACCCCCTTTTCTCTTCCACCTCGCTCCTCCCTAGCCCCACAGGGACCATTTCACCATCCAGGTGGATGATCCATCCTCCACGCTCACCTTGGTTCCTCACTATTTTACTTTGATCACCTTTTCCTCCACTGCAGAACAATCACACACAATCACAGTCATCCCAGAGCCTTATCATCGCCCCACACTACCCGATCTTTAAGACAGGAGCTCAAAACTTCAGCTACAGATCTCCATATTTCTCTCCCTCCACTGGGTCTCCTGCTGGACTACTTCTCTGGCCTTGTAAGACCAGCAACCCTTCTGCTCACGGCTATTTCCCCAGCTGGCTTCTCTGCGCATGGAAATCAGGCTCCATCAGAGCAACTGTGCTGATTAGCACCCCCTTCTGTTGCCCGGTCACCCCCTCACCCTCACCACCTCTGCCAGTCCCCAGCCCTGTGCACCAAGGCTCCTCATCACCAGCTTCCAAGTCTTCTAAGAGGATTTTTTTTTTTTAACCAGCTCATCACACTGAGCCATAGATCAGCTGGGCCTCTCCCCAGGGATTTTGCTCCCTCCCACGGACTGGCTAGTCCATTTTCTGCAGCAATTGTTCCGAAGCTTTCCTCTCTCCCAAGCACCCAGCCCCACCTTAGCTTCAGCCCCCCAGCAGATGACATCAACTGTGGCGCAGTCAAACCCTTTCTCTCGCCTCACGTCCACGCCACATTTCTTGGTCTTCGGTCTTTCTCCTCCCCCAGCTCACGTTAGGCTTTTTGAAACCCTGTCACGCTAGACGTGTGTTTCCGCCTCTCCCGGGGCTGCGTTACTGCAGCATCCCTCCTCTGAATTGACTATTTCCTGTTTCCTTCTCCTCCCCAGTCTTCTCAGGCCCAGGTGATCCTCACTACACAATGCATCTTGCTTTGATCTTGCTGCTCCGCAAACGACCACATTTTGTCACTTTAGAACGTCATCAATGAAAAAAAGAAAGTCAACACCCAGCCTGTTCCTCCCTTCCCTCTGACGTTATCAGCCCGATGCCACGTCTCCTGCACCCTCTGTGCCAACTCTCAACTTCCTCTTTGATTGTTTCGACCTCTGGAGCATGTGAGACTGTTCCTCTACCCCCTCTCTTTGGGATGCTTTCCTTCCTTTGTTTCCACCCTGTTTCCTTCAACTGGTCGTTCTCCAATCCTCCTTCCTCTTACAGACACCTGGATGTCGAGATTCCCAAAAGTTCTTTGTTTTACACAGTTAAGGGGCATCTTCTCAAATCTCGGGGCTTCCACTCCTCTCTGCGTGGAGCCAGCCTCGAGATCCCCAGCTTCCAAGTCTTGAATTCCCACCTGCAGTCACCCCACCCCTGCACATGTAACCGTAGATTTCACCCCTCCCTCACCCACCTACCCGGTTCCTCCCCTTTGCTGCCTATTTCAGAACTCTCCACAGCATCCACTTGGCGCAGCTCCTGACTCATCCTTGACTCCTATTTCTCCCTCTCCTCATGCGCCCCGTGGGCAAAATCCTGTTTCCTCCAAGCCCATGATAAACAGTCTGTTCTCCCTCTCTTGTTGGGGATCCTTGGCAGTGCCCCCCCCCCTTTTCTGGACTAGCACGCTGGTTTGTTCATTCTCTGTTCATTCTCCTGCCTCCAATGTCACTCTTCCAACCCATGTATCTTACTTGACCTTATTTGACCTTACACTCTCGGTTCACAGGGGAGACCATGCCACCATCCCCCAAAACATTCAGCGGTCTCCCACCACTAATCCAGTGCAGACTCCTTAGCATGTGATTTCAAAGCCCTCACAGCCTGGCCACCTGCCTTCCACCTTTCAAGTCTCACCTCCCACCCCACCTCCGAGGACCAGGCACAATCCCAGTGTGCTCATTGACACCTCTTTGACTTGTTTATGTGCTTCCCTCAGTTGGCTTACCTTATCCTTTTCCCCTGATTAATAAAACATTCCTCTTCTTTCAAGTCTGAGGTAAAAGGCATATGCCTCCTCTCCCCACTGTAATTGAAGACCTACCCTTCCACAACACTTAGCTTATACCTCTATTAATTCATTTTGCTTAGCTAATTGCCGATGTGGCTAGCTCTCTAAGTTTATAAGTCCCTTCAGGGCCGAGTCTGGGTCTTATTTCCCCAGCATTACCACAGACCCCAAGCCAGCTGTACTCACAATAGGTTCTTAGTACACCTGTGACTAATTCTCATAACTCTTTATTCAACTATTTCTTAGACACTTTCTTAGGGCTTTTCCTTATTTTTCATCTTTCAAATTCAAAAACAAACAGCAATTTACAAAACTCAACCCCTTCACAGAGAATCTTTTCAGATATGTGATTGGTTTGGTAGATCCCCTACATGTCCCATTTTTCAATTTTCTTTATATTGAAGTTAAAAATCTACTCCTATCAGGCTGCCTTCTAGAGTTGGATTTCTTTTCATTTCATTGTCTTACCTTGGCTGGAATCTTTGCTGCGTGATTCTCCAGGATCAGTCTCTTCAGGTGCAGAACCCACAGGCGTTTGTCTTGCTGGGATTTAGCCTAGCAGAAGGGGATTTGGGCAGTCAGACAATTCACATCTCTACCAGTCACAGGACACAGGTGTTACTTTAACTCACGACAAAGTGGGAAACACACTATGTGGCTGGGAAGTTTTGGTAGAAATGCCTGAAAAGTTTTGTGAAGGGACATGGCATTCATCATGCACAAGAGAGAGCTTGCTGGGTGGCAAGGGAGCTCCTGTTACCTGAACTGTGTGCTGCAGCTTGGGGTTCTTATAGTGGAAGACACTGAAGCTGAGAGGCTCCTTGGGGATCACTTCCACAAGCATGAGGTTGCCACACTGGAGGGAGAGAGAGAGAGAGAGAGAAGGTGAGAGTCACTTGGAAGAGAATTAACAAGCCCCAAAATCCTCGGCTGTCCCAAGTATTCAGGCCTACCAGGATGTGAGCTTTGTATGTAAACGTGTCATCTCTCTTCTTCGTGATGAGAAGCAGCTTGTCAAAGAGGAAGAGTGTCCGCTCATTCTTGGCACGCTGGATGCGGAAGGTACCCTCGAGTACCAGTTCTCCATAGCTGGTCAGGTCTGGCCCCTTCCAATTAGTGAGCAAACTCTGTATCTCCTGTAAAAGAGAACATTCCATGTGGTTAAACAGGAGGTAGGAAGGTAAGACTTTGACCTGGCATGGAGGTCACATAACTTTGTGTTTTGTTTTTTAATAATGCATCTTTTGAGGTGACCAGCACATGATCATTGGCCCAGAACCTATCAAAATTTCCCAGTGATTTAGGACTCAAAATGTTGTTCTGGAGAGAAATTTAGCAAACTTCACATCAGTCTTACTTCAAAAACGAGGAGTCTGAAATGAAGTCTTGGCCTGGGTGAAGGTGCAAATGACCTGGTTCCAGACTTCATGCTCCTTTTCCTGAGTCCCTGCCTCATTACACACACACCATCATGTGATTCTGCATGAATCAGTGAGAGAGGCTCACAAACCCTTTAAATAATTTAGAGAAAGCTGCTTTCAACAAGAATTACTTATTTGAGATTAACATGAGGTAAGGCCTTGGGAGACTCCCTTTCCTAAGTTGGCCCTTGAAGGGGCTATGAGTACACTATTCACTTAGAAGTTACGCTTAAACAGTCGTGTTAAACAATGACCACTGTTACTGGTGTCCTAACCTCTCTATGAACCATGATGACGACCACGAATGAAGTGAGCAGCCTGATGCTTGAATGGGAAGATGATAATGAACTGGTGCACCCTCCTCCCGCCGACCCTGAGGGCTCACCTGTAATCGGACTGCATGCTCATGTTTCCGCTTCATGTCATTTATGTGCCAGGCCACTCGCTGCATGGTGTCTATTGCGTCCAGCACCACGTCATAGCCTTCTGTGTCCTTGTCAAGGTGATTTTCTATTTCCTTAAACAAAAGAAGGACTAGTTATTTTCCTCTTTTGTCTTATGTAGCCATGCAACAGAGGGCACCTCTGTGACCCCCGTGATAAGTTCTTTATATTTTAGTTTTTTATTGATGTAGATACTACCATTATTACTTAACATTTTGAGATAACTTCCTAGACATACCTGCAACAAAATGGTAAGCTAGGCTCTCTGGATGAAAGTCTTTTTAAGAAAAGATTTTTAAAGTAGTATAAAAAAACAAAAGTCATAGTTTACTTTTATTGACTACCTGTGAGCCAGCAGATATTGGCAACTGATAGAATTTGAACATAGACAGGGTACTCTTGCCTGGAGCCCTGCCCTAACCACCCTGCTACACTGCCTTTCTCCTGTTGTTACCCCTTCTAATCCCACCTACAGAGAGATTACTTTCATTAAAACTTTTTTCCAGGCCTCCCTGGTGGCATTGGGGTTGAGTCTCTGCGCTATCACACCATAGCTGCTGTGACCTGAGTTCAATCCCCGGCCAGGGAGCTGACCCACAGGGCCCAGCAGACCTCTCCTGTCTCGCCGCTGCTCCCCTCAGCAGTGTATTTCAGTCAATCCACCTGTTCTGTTCCCCACTCTGTCTCTGGTGAATCCTCTCACCCCCTAGCATCTCTGGTCTGCATCCCAGCTCTTCTATACATAAAAAAATAAATACATCTTTAAAAAAAAAACAACTTTTTTTCCACCTTGTCAACTTCCCTAGAGGATTAGACATGAGAATGTGAGAGCCGTGTCTACCTTTATTTCTAAGGTCTCCTTGCATTTTGGACAAATCACAGGATGTGCTATAGAGAAAAGACATCTTGAAGTGAATCTAAACCCAGCCCTAAGATCGCTCCACTTTCTGCTCATCTGTCATCCGTCACCTTCCTTTTCCAGTCCCTTCTCTTTCTGCTCATACTAAAGCCAATCTATGACGAATAGCTTCTCCCTCCCTCCCAACTGCCTACTGAATCTGGGCTCATGGAAATAAAATAAAACATAAAAATCTGTTTTCCATTAAGCTGAGTGTTCTCTGCCTGAAACTGTCACTGCCCAGTGCAAAGTTCTCGAAAGACCTATCACAATCAGAGCGAAAAAGAATCTTTTCTTTGGGCTGTGGTCACTGGGGCTGCAGGCCCGGAATATAAATGTCTCTAATTCCTCAAAGCAGATTAGTCAGTTGTAAAGCATGAGGGTGGAAAACACTTCCATATGTCCCCCGCCATTTTGGCTATTTTCTCCCCTAAACTTAAAAGATACACAAGTCTCTGTCCCCTGCAGAAACTTACATGCAGAAGGAGATGATACTTGAGAATCCGCTGAACTGGCTTCAGGAGATAGGACCCCAGAGGCAGGGAGTGTTTCAGAGTTTCCTGTCGTTCCCTGAAGAACTTGGCCAGCACCTTGTTCCTCATGCACTCCGTGAGCACAGCCACCGACCTGCAAGAAGCAGTGACGTTTTTATCTAAATTGCAATGCCGAACGTGGGTACTCAGGCACTAAATACCCTAAACTGGGCAGCGCAGCAACAGAGCTAAGCTAGACTAATGTGGGGTATATGAGAGAAGGGCATCCATCTGGGCGAGCGAATCAGCAGAAGGCACCCTAACGGTGTGGCTGGTGGGGGAGTGTGCTGTAAGCCCACACGCCTGCCTCCGGAAGACACAGCCCTGGCCAAGAGACTGCAGCATGCCAAAGGAGAATGAGCTGGACGTCAGCCCCAAGGGCGCCCCCATGGGTGTCTTTGTGCAGTGCTCACTTTCCACTGGCTAGATGGAAGGCATGGGCACCTCCATACTAAGAAAAGGGGTTCCCTCTTCCCATGGTCACAGCTTCTGCTGGTCCAGTTTGCATAAACTGCACGATATAACGGCCCTTGGGGACCTCCTAGCACAGTTGGCTTCCCTTTGGGCATCTTTGCACGGCTCTCTCTCATACCTCTGCTGGCTCTCCTCATTCTAAAGACAGCGTCTGAGAGGGCGAGACAGCCTCGCTCCTCAAGAGTGAGTCACTCAGCAGTGTATTCGCAAGGTCACTCAGAGTCCTCTTCCATCCCAGCGGGCCCAAAGGTGATGCGTAGCCCCTCACATACCCAGGGGCGTGGTGGCAACAAGGCTCACATCTCCTACGTAAAGCAAGCTGCTGGGCTGGTGGAGTCACACGCACGTACGGGAATATCTTGTGGTCTTGCAAGAAAGCAGGTGGAAGTCATTCTAGCCCCTCTGTCCCCAAGTCAGTCATATATTTTCAGGATTAATTTGAAAATCAGAGAGAACCAAACCATAAAGTGAGATTCCTGGGAAGGCAGAGAAACAGTCTTCCTGATGAAATTATTAGACTCTCCAAGTCCATCTATTTTGAGAAATATCAGTCCAAGCAGATCGCTAGCCTTCTACGCTGAGATGTCAAAACTGTTCTTCATCCGAGGCTTGGGGACATCTCTATTAACAAGTAGAGTCAGAATCAGTTTCCGAGTAGCCCTTTGGTCATCTGAGGGCTTGAGCTTTGCGTGAATATAAGAACTGCCAGCAACAAGTTCTGAGCAGATGGGGGTCCCTGTTCCCAGAAGTCCCGGGTTGGGGGGGTGCATCGGAGGACCCTGACCTGACTGGGCTGTGCCTCTGCCTGTGACTCTTCCCAGCAAAACTGCTGGGAACACCTGTCAAGGTGGCAGGTGACATTTAATATCACCAGCCTGGTCCAGAGGGGGAGAGGATGCCAGCTCGAGGGGAAAGGAAAGCTGGGCCCTCAGACAGCAGCTGGATGGAGACAAGGAACAAGTGGACACATTTTTCTATGAGTATGAAAACAAAATTGGGCAGGAACCAGACACTCTTGCTGCACTGAGAAGGCCTTGGGAGCATGTCTGCTCAGACGCTTCTTTTCTTCTTCAAAGTGAGAGTCAAAACTCAAAAATACTCCCCGCAGGAAACCGTCCTTAGCTCTCCTCACTGCGGCTTGTTCTTCCTTCACCTCGTGCATCTTCAGCATCCGTTACACACGACGGAGCTCACACTGTGTCAACTTGCATCTGTTGATTGGATTCTCCCCAACACATGAGTCTACTGAGTCTAGTTGTATTCTGAATCCCCAAGAGTAGAAACTGCTAGAAGGCAAGCGGGGTTCATCCCTACTTCCTGCCCACATCCTCCAAGCTTGCAACTTTGCTCCATCCAGGAAAGGCTCTTAAAAATATTTGTGCACAAATAATGTTGCCTTCTTTGACCCTGAGGCCACCTAGTAGAGAAACAGCTGCCTTAATTTTGTCCTCTCCTCTTTCATTTCTCTGTTAGACACATCTTAATATAAACTTCCCAAACTGCCAATTCAGAAGGTATTTCGTTGAATAACATGCTTGTAGGGAACTTGACACAGACATAATCCCCTGAAGAGCTGCTCTGGTGGCTTGGGTCCTGAAACTGAGTCCAGAACTTCATTGATTCTCTAGAGTGGAATGTTTTCCCTTCCCTTCAGGAAGAAGTTTGGTGGCGTTGAGGGCCAAAGCTGTGATTTTCCTGAATTTGAGTGTTGGGGCAAGGCAGGCTTTTTGCTCCAGGTTCACGGGACTTAGCTGAGCATCCTGACATCTTCAGATAAAGGTGGAGACAACAGGGCCTCCCCTGGTGGCGCAGAGGTTGAGTGCTGGGCTGTGAAGCTGCCCGCAGCCTCTGCAGCACCAGTTCAATCCCTGGCCACCTGTGAGGGTCCCACATGGCGCGCAGACCTCTCCTGCCGTGCCCGCTGCTCCCCTCAGCAGTGTATTTCATCAGTCTGTTGTGCTCCCCACTCTGGCTCTGGTGAATTCTCTCACCCTCCTGCACTTCTGACTGTACCCAGTGCTTGTGTAAATAAATAAATAAATCTTTAAAAAAAAAAAAAGGTGGAGAGAACAGAACCTGTCTTATTCCCAACTAGGCGATGGTCTCTCAGTGTTGCCCATACCCATAACAACACAACACACACACAGAAGGGTTCTCTGACAAGCCTTTAACGCAATGGGTTTCCTTTGTTTCCCACTAAAGTGCCAGCTATCTTTTGGCCTCATTCAGGGTTTTCACAATTTTCCCCTACACTGATCTGTGGGGAGCCCCAAAGTCTGAGCAGGTCAATGTCTGAGAATCCCTGGATTCTACTATCAGCATGTCTTGCTGTGCTTCCCACAATGCTCTGCTCCAGGCAGACATTCCTCAGAGCCACATCCACTGGACTGATAGGCTTGCCACCAGGTGGGAGGGGACCAGGCAACCCCGCACACACACACACTGGGTACCTGGGGTAGTTGGTGCAGTACTGGGTATAGATATGGAAGGCTTCACTCTGCAAGGAAACAAGAGAGGCATTAAAGGCAAAAGGCAAAGGCATCCACACTCCTTCAAAAACAACAAAGGGCCCTCCGTGGTGGTGCAGGGGTTAAAGACAGCGCTATCAAGCTATGGCCAGTCACTGCAGCCGGAGTTCGATTCCCTGGCCAGCCAAGAAGATGACCCACATGGTGCAGTAGACCTTTCTTGTCTCACCTGCTGTTCCCCTCAGCAGTGTATTTCAGTCAGTCTGCCTGTTCTGTTCCCCACTCTGTCTCTGGTGAATCCTCTTACCCCACCCACCCCTGCACCTCTGGCCTGTACCCCAGCTCTTGTATGCAAAAATAAATTAAGAAAAAAAAAAGATTGTACAACTGGATCCAAGAAGAAATAAGAGCATCACACTTAGGTCCCTGAGGAATGCTGAGATACATTTACAAATAGATTCAAAACTGCCTTTTTCCTATCAAGATGGGTGGGTAAAGAAATCAGTTGTCCCTCTGCAGGACAGTTTTCATTTGCAAGTCTGATGTCAAGCAGCACTTACATGATCTATAATTTCAAGACTTGTTCAAAGACGATGAAGGTGCAGACACCTATCGAAGCATAGACTTTAGGAGGGTAAACTGGAAGATGCTCAAGGTTATTTTTTTTGGAGGCACCCAGTAATCTTTTTGGTCCTGTTCAAAGCCTTTCACAATTTCTCCTACACTGGCAAGGAAAAGCCGTAGATGAAACAGTGAAACGTCTGAGGCTACATTTTCACACTTTGATTGTAAAGCGGTCAATGAGAATAAATAATTCAAGACCACTGGATTACCAGCTCTTGTAAACTCAAAAGGAATTACATTTTGAAAAAGAGTCACAGCCTAATGCTTTGGTAGTGTTTCACATTCTGCTTGTTCTAAAGCCACTTCACACTGGAATCACCTGCGACTCCCAGAGAATAAATTGTGATAATTTTAATTTTTTTCAGACTTAAAAGGAATTCCAGTTAAAGTCCTTTTTGTTAAACTCAACTAGGATTAATTGTTTTCTTATTAAAGTTGCGAGCATATTTAAGAGGAGAGAAGATGGCCTATAGCACCCCCGAGTATCATTTCTGAAGCAAATTTGAGACATCATGTCACTTGTATTTTAGTAACTGTCTCTGAAATATGGCCTTCAAGGCGCATCACTGCAATGTCATTTCATATCACATTTAAATAATTTCCTAATATTATGCCTGTCAGTTTTGGAATCCAAACAACAGTCACGAACAACTGATCTCCTCTAATCCATCAGATCCCCCTCGATCTTTTCTGCACTTGCAGTTTGGGTGAACACACCAGACGGCTTGTCCAGTAGACTCCCCAGTCTTGGTTTTGCTGACTTACCCCTACGGCTTCCTTTCATGCGTCCTCTGTCCTCTGCACTCCTGTGGCTTAGTAGAGGCTTAAACAGATTTAGGTTCCATCATTTGGCGTGAATCATTTCCTAGGTCGCATTGTACTTCCATCAGGAGGCAGGGCCTGCTCGATGTCTCTCTTTTTCTAATGTTAACAACTCCTGGTAATTATTGCCTAGATCTATTAATTCACTAGGGGTTGCAAAATGGTGATACTTCAACTCTATGGTTCCTTCTTCATTCTTAGCTGGACTCTCTCCAAAGGGAATATTCTGATATTAACTCTTTGATACCCTGCAGTTTGTGGTTTCACATGGGAAAGGCAGGAAAAGGTTTCATTCTTTTCTTTAATTTTCAAAATAATGCAGTGGTTCACTAGCATCCTGCAAAGGTCACCGGCCTGGTTTTCTAAAATAGTACCGTGAATTCATGAATATAAATGCATTTAATGAGTTTCAGTTGTTTTCAGTGAGTTCTCCTTACCAATGCTCAGATGATCCTAGCTTGGGGCACGAGGAGTGTCTTTTTGAGACTGGTGACCTGACCTGGAGTCTCTGGCGGTGGCTTCCTAGTTTCTGGTTGATAGGATGTTCCAGACCATCCTATACGATCCTGCCCCACTCAGTCTTCCTGGAGCCCTGATACTGTTTTGCAGGAAGTATTTGGAGCCTCAATCTGGGCACTAGGGATCCTCGTTTACTGCCAATCATCGTTACTTCTAGGCCTTCCAGTGGACAGAATTAGGAATATGGCATTTTTAAAAGATAAAATGCATCCTCAATTCAAATTTGCAATTCATATTCAGGACTACAGTATTTCTTATTAGCCTCATTCTCACCTTGCCTTATCTTGCTCTCACAGGTCAAGGACACTAAAGAAATCCTCATTTGCTTTACCCCACAGCACGTTCAACAGATTCAGACCAACAACACCAAACCCCCCATGTGAAATCATTACTGAAACCAGCTAAAAATGTATTTGCTTTATCTTGTCCATTGTGCCTTTTAAAATCGGTTGGGATTTCCTCTGTGTGATTATACCACAAATTAGATACACCCATCTGGCCACTGCTTCATTTTGCTTTCCATTTTTTGGAGACCACATCTGTTTAAGGTCAATTATAATTAGGTAAAATATGTACATGGTTTCAGAGTTAACTCAGCAAGGCATATTAAAGATGTCCAGTTTCTATTCCATTCCATTCTAGTCTATTCTACCCTCCCCCTCTATAACCAATTTTTAATCTTACAGTTAATCTTTAAGAAAATATATACACATTTAAATAGATGGATATTCTCCACCATTCCTAGACAAACAAAAATAAGGTAGGCCAGTGAATTCTCAAACTTGAGTGTGTACCAGAAGCACCTGGGGGACTTTGTAAAACTGGAATTACTGTGCCTGTGTCAATCTGGACTCTCACCACCAGTGTCTGATTTAGTAGGTCTAGGTTGGGGCTGACTTTGCATTTCTAACATGTTTCCAGATACTGCTGCTGCCAATGATGTAGGAACCACACTTTGAGAAGCAGAGGCTTCTATCATGTACCCCACTGCTTCCTAGTAATACATAGAGATATTCTTTATCTGCTTTTACTATTTCCTAGCATTCCATTATATGGATAGATCGTGGTTTCTCCAACCAGCTTCCTGCTTATGAACATTTGGGCTATTTCCCTATATTGTGCACTTCTAGATGTAAATGGATACATGCATGCAGAAAAATGAAATCTACATAAAATATATCTATAAATTATACCTATTATTGCAAGGGATGGAATCACATTTACTGAATTTTTGTTACTATATCTTTGGAATCAATTTCTGGAAGCAGGCCTGCTGATGTCAAGAGTGAATTCCCCTCTAAGGGGTCTGTGCTACTCTCATTGCCCCTAGTTATAGGGGGACCTGTTTCTCTCTGGTCATGCCCACTTAATATGCTGCCAAATTTTCCAGCACAGTACTAAAGAAAATCTAAATAAACTGCCAACTTCAAAAAGGTGGAAAATAAACATATCTTGATTTGTGGCACCTCCTGAGAAAGTATATGATCTACTGGCCCTGAACCTACAGTTTCAATGCCACTATGTCCCCAGGAGACCAGGCAAGAGCCCAGATGGTTCTGGCCTCCACCTGGGCCCTTCACACATTAGGTCTATCTGTCTGGCTCCCCGAGGCACTGAGCACCCAAGCCTGCTCCATGAACAGGAAAGACAAGTGATTTGGCCAACGTCTTCTAGTAAATGCAGATCAGACTGGAGTCTTTCTCTGGGTGAGCTCACATACGCTCTTTCCTGCCCCCTGCACAACTCAGTCTTGGGTTGAACAAAATCAGGCTGATTTTCCTTAAATTTAGAAACTTCTGGATCATTTGAAATACCAAATTTTGAAAAAATGGCCTCCATGAAAATAGGTGTAAATTATATTGTATGCTGGACCTCTCCTGAATGAGGTCTCCAGACGTCTGCATAATTGTCTTTCTGAGCACTCTGACACCACGGCGCCCTTGCTGTCTTAAATTAGGGGGCTGTGATTGGAATCAGCTATGTATACTTAGCATAGAATCAAATGCATAATTCATCTCAGATTTATAAACTCCATGGGCAATTCAAACAGTGGTTTTACACAAAGATCAATAGCCAAAAGCTAGTTAATCCTTTAATGCTTTTTATTAGATAGACCACCCCAAATCATTTTCAGAAGTGTTTAAGAAAAGGCAATAATAAAGAAATGACACAAAAACAGACATTTCATTCTGTTTTTTCAAATTGCCATTAAAGAGCGCATAAAAACAAGACATTTGATTATGAAAGATTCAAAATATAAGTGAGTCAGAGCTGGCCAAAGGGACGCAAGCGCACTCACGTTCACTGAACGAACAACCAGAGTAAAAAAATCTGTACGATCTTAGGGTTCCTTCTGTCACAGGGTATCTCTGTCCCCCTTCCTCTTCCTCTCCCTCTTTCCCTGATCCTTCTCTCTCCCTCATGTATACACATATATACACACACATGTATACACACACATGTATACACACACACACACACACACACACTTTTGATTCCTGAGCTTTCAGTGGACACTATGAGAAAAGCTTAAAATGCAAGAAGCGTAAGGGTAAGATCATATTGACTTGCATTCACTGTGCTGATGCTGATATCAGCACTTAAGTGAGGATAATTGCAGTAGGTGGGTGAGGTGTGGTGTGGCGGGACACCCCAGGAGAAAGGAGCCCAAGGAAGGGAGCCGAGCAACTGGGGGGAGCTGGGGTAGGGGGGAGATAGAGGGAGGCCGGATCTCTGAAAGAGAAGCTTAGTCTCTCCTAGACGCTTCCCAGTGTCACCTGACTGACAGTCAAGATAAGGGGTGTAAATGAGGGTGGAGAGGACAGGACCCCCAAGGAAACGGGGTTCAGGTTTTGCAGAGGCCTGTGCTGACAGCTGCTCAGCTGGGAAACAGTTTGGCCTGCTCAGTGGGAACTTATTTCTGCCCCTTAAAAGAATGGCCTCCACAGCTCGTTCTTTCACGAGCAGCAGGTGAGACGCCTTCTCTTTTTGTCCCGAAGCGTTTCTGTAGCCTACACTACCCCCACACCCCAAAAGCCAGGTCAAAGATGAAACTCCGTGTCAGCCCCGGTGATTCAGATAAAAGCAAAAGTCAACTGCCAGATTTACTTCTTTCATTAATGGCCTCTCAATTAAAGCAATTTTCCATTCTTCCTCGGGCTTGAGCAGCTGGTTGTGTTTCAGAAAACGTAACATCTCCTAAATCTCAGGGTGCTGAGTGAGAAGCAAGTGGTGCCAGAAGCAAACACTCCCTTACCCGGCCCTGCTTCCATGTGAGAATGCCGAGCCCTCGAGTCGGTCTTCTAATTAAACTTGGCATTATTACAATGAAGAAGATTGGGGAGTTGGCAACGTGGCACATAAACAAACTTTTATGTGAATAATTAAGCCAGAGTTAAGCACATGCTGGACCGTCTTTAATCAGCTTGTGATTACAGTTACCAGTAAAAGCCCAGCGTTTCCGAAAGCGTCCTTGCTGTTTATGTGCTGCGGTTCTTGTGACATCTCTTCTTTGATATACTCGGCCTGGCTTTTCACCCACTTCTCCCGATTCCATTTCCCTTCTCCTTTTCAAGTTCCTTTAGGAGGGTGAATTCTGACCCGGGTAACTTGGGCACCGGATGCATGTGTAAGCAGGTGTGCACATTTTACACGTTAGGCCCCACCACCGCCACACACCCCCACCCACAAAGTGTTTTATATACAAGCCCAACCACTGCCTTTAAGGGATCACACTTCCATAAAACCCAGAGTGTGATGTTTGGATTCAACACCACTGGGCCGAGCTGCAGCCGTCAGAAATGACCCCCTGGAACAAGTTCGGAGCCAGATCAGGCTGGGAGCTCACGTCACCTTCACCTTGGACTCCAGCACTCTAAACGAGGTGCTAATTCTCAGCTGATCCCAAAGCACCATCCTGAACTTGGCTTAAACCTTTCTTTGCACATCTGAGAACACAACTGCAGAAATTCCATGAAGTTCTGGCGTAAGACAATTTGCCTGAGGTTTTCCAAACAAAAGCTATGGAATATTTAAGAGAAACTTTAGGATGCTGTATGTAGAAAGTCATGGGAAGGACTGCCTGGTATGTTCCAGAACTCGACCTCCTATCCAGGTACAGAGTATGGACGGTCATTTAACCTTTGCAGATCAAATCCTTTCTTTCTATTTCTCTAACTCATCAATACTGCTTAGGAAGAATCGGAGAATGAGAGTACATTTTTAGGTGCTCTCTTCACCCCACCACCTCCAAATGGTAATTACACGGCTTAGCGACTGTTACATATATTGTATATAAAGCATTTATATTCTATCGGATTCCTATCGCTTCTCGGCCTTTTGGCTAAGATCAAGAGTATATTCTATTGGATTCTTGTAACTGGTCTAGTGGCATTTTACAAATATTCATTTTTCTAACATTCTTCTATTTTGGATTCTACTTTCTCCAGGTTTTAAGTTCTGCTCAGGTAACCTGGGTAATATTCAGTTACTACACGAAATCTAGCACCACCATTATGCTGGCTTTCCCAGCTCCTGGGGACAGTAACTGTATACGATTTTTGCATGCTGGTGAAAAACAAACAAACAAAAAAACAGAGTAAGACAGATCAGTGGTTCACTTCATCTAACACAGAACACGGCAGTCATTTTAACTTTAAAATGCAAACCATTTGTCCTCTGTGTCTGTCTTGCTTGGCCTGGAGAAATGAACTCTGCTCACCTTGGACACGAAACATTCTGCTATGGCCACAGGATCATTTTCACAGTTTTCCAAATCTTGCAGAAGTTCACTAATAAAAAAAAAAAAATAGCCAGAAAGCATTAGATTGTAGCCTTATGGTTGAGGACATTTTAGTTAACTTAGAAGTTTAAACATTTAGGTGGCATTTATCAGGAATCCTATTTATAGTTGCATAACTGAGGATCCATTGTCATCACCAAGGTCTAGATAAGGAACTTCCCCAAGGACTCCCTGGAGCAGAGATTTAAACGGAGGCGGACTTGTAACTCTTCTACCCAGAAACAAACCCTGCCTGACATTTAAGTCTTCTAGAGGCTTATAACTGCTCACATTCTCACACTCATTCACTCACTAAACAATTGTGTAGGTTCCATGTACCATCCAAGCCAATGGGAATAAATGCATCGGTGAATAAAATGGAAAATGACCCCTGGTATCCAGAAGCTTGGAGGCCATTGGAAGTCAGTCATTCAATGAAAAATTACATAATAATTGTAAAATTATAAATGGAAATAGAGCTCTGATGGAAAGATATGCTGAGGAGGAATTATACCTTCAGGCATAGTTCTATATTATATTTAATGGCTTACTATTGTAAAAAACTGTATATCTCATGTGGATATACTATAACTAATCTGTCACTGATAGATAAAATTCTAAACATGGAATTGTGGGTCAAAATCCACCACCATAGGGCCTCCCCAGTGGCACAGCAGGTTGAGCGCAGCACTGTAAAGTTGTCTGCAGCCTCTGCAGCTGGGTTCGATTCCCAGCCAGCCAGGGAGATACCCACATGGTGCAGCAGACCTCTCCTGTCTCCCCGCTGCTCTCCTCAGCAGTATATTTCGGTCCATCTGCCTGTTGTGTTCCCCATCTGTCTCTGGTGAATCCTCTCACCCTCCGGCACCTCTGGCCTGTACCCCAGTTCTTGTATAAATAAATAAATCTTTAAAAAAAATCCACCACCACAATCTGTTGTGCTTCCTTTCTGCTTTGTTCTTACACCTCCCCCAGTTTTTTTGGCTCCAGCTATTCCTTTTCTAAACATACTTATACTGTATTTCATTATGTTTCAATTTCAGATGTCCCAAACTTTCCCTTTTCCTATTTTCTCAACAAGTTCTATTATGAAATTTGATTGGAAGTCAGACTACATTTTTAAGAATATGTTAATATAATTTTCAGCTGAGCCTCAGAGTGTGTCATAATTACATTTCCTTTTTTTGTACAATCATGTTTTGTCTGGAATTAACATTGCCTCCTTTTTTGCTTTGTTTTCAGAGCAAACACCCCTAAATTATCCTCAAACATCGTGTCAAAGGTACGACTCTCTTCAACACCAATCTGATGATGCTCTTCACCTTGACTTGTGGGGGATGACTTTTGTTTCTTAGACACCATTTCAGATGCATTCTGTCCTTTGGGAGGTAACAACCACCTATTTAGAGGTAATAAGGGTAATAGGTAACAACTCAGAATCTTCCTACTTCAAAATGTTAAACCCTTCACATTGATAATATCAGTGGGTAAATAATTCTTGGTTGGAAATCATTTTCTCTGTCTTGAGGGAACTATCCTTTGCCTTATGTCAATTCTATCTAGTTGCTATTGAAAGGTCTGATGTCATATTATTATTTTGGACTTTCCTTCCCTGCTCCTTGCTTTCTGCACAGCTCCCCTTTCTCTGATTGAACACTGTGGCTCCTGTTGTTCATGCAAGACACTCCTCAATCATGTGGGATTTGTACTTTCCTGTTTGAAGGTGAGACACAACAATGTTCACCATAAACTCTGTGCACGCTCGTGGAATGTTCCTTGACCCAAAGCAGCAATTCTCAAACTTTTCCTGGGGGAGGGGTCAATTTGGTTTACACTCTTAAAAATTCTTTATCTGGGTTATATCTATCAATACTTATTCTATAAGAAATGAAAATCAAATACTTTAAGAATTTTTCAATTAACTTAATAATGCATTCAGTATATTAATATAAATTGCTTCTGGTGGAAAATTTTATAAAACAAAAATCACTGAGAAGCATTGTTTTTGATTTTTTGTCAAATCTCTAATGTCCACCTTAACAAAGCACCAATGAATTCTCATACCTGTTTGTTTATTCTATCTGTTATAATTTGTTACTCTGGCTGAATCACATAGAAAACAAAATTCAGTCTCACATAGATGTGCCAAATAGACCAGCCTCTTCAGATCAGGGTGGATAGCCTTCTTTGAGATCACAATGACACTCCACTGACAAACCCAATATGAAGCCACCAATGCTCCACACCTGTTACTGTAAAACTCATTAGTCTAGGTCCGGTCTGGTGGGCTTAAGTCTCAGTGCTATCTCTGCTTTGGCCTGAGTTTGATCCCCAGCCAGGGAGCTAACCCACATGGTGCAGCAGACCTCTCTTCTCTCCTGCTGCTCCCCTTTGTAGTGTGTTTCTGTAAATTCACCTGTTCTGCTGCCCATTCTGTCTCTTGTGAGTCCTCTTACCTCCTGTACCTCTGGCCCATACCCTAGTTCTTCTATGCATAAATAAATAAATCTTCAAAAAAACCCAAAAGCCCATCAGTCTATCTCATACACTTTGACAGGATCTTTTACAGTGAATAGTTTCGGGATAGTCCCAATTTCAAACATTTTTTTCTAATATTCCAATAAAAATCACTTTGTAATATTAATTTTAATTAGGAAAGCTGTCTAACATTTGCATTAATCTTTTTGATAGAAAGATGAGCATGATTGAATTAAAGGCAGTTGAAATCTGATCACTGGGACCTTAACACTGGATGAAGAGGAAAAAGTCAAAGAAAAAAAAAAAAAACAGCTAAGAAGCAACATTTCTGGGTCAGCAGTTTCCATTATTGGAGGATGGAGTGCTCCTAATATAGGTTTTGTGTCCAGATCTTTCAACATAAACATTCTTTCTGAGCAGAGAAGAATTCTGAGCAGAATCCATTGTGTTACTTCTCAAAGCTTAAGAGAAATGGTCCTCGGCAACATTTAACTCCTTGTGTGCTAAATGCTATCCCCAACAGTGGACGTACTGGCAGGCGGAAGTGTCTGGAGGGAGCCACCCAGCTCTGGGGATGGCTTACTGGTACATGGATGACTAGCATTCATTGCTCAAGAACCACAGAACTGGGATCTTTGATTCCCAGACCCTAATTTTAAGGTGAGGAAACCACGGCTCATAAAAGGGAGGCAGCTTACTTTAGGTAACACAGTCAATAATTAAAGGTCAGAGCTGAGGTTAGTATCAGGGCTCGTGGAGCACCCATCTTGCAGTCTACTCTAAATATGTCTGTTGAAAGATTTATTCCAGATTGAATCATGAAACCATTAACTCAAAACATTATATGCTCTACGGTGTTAGCTGCAGTGTTAGTTACAATAGCTATGGCATGGAAACAACCCAACTTCCCAGTGACAGAGGACTGGATCAAGAAGCTGTGGCCTGTCCACACTATGGAAGACTACTCAGTCACAGGAAAGATGAAATGTTGCCATGTACACACCTAAATGGAAGGTGTGGGAGGGAATTATATGCAGGAAAGCAAGTCAGAATGACAAAAACAAATATTATTTACATAGTGGATGATTCAACAAAGCAAAATACTTACAAAAACTAGCAGACTAATAAATAAATGAGGTTTTTGAGATTAAGAGGGAGGGAGAAAGGGTGAAAGGGCTATAAGAGATGGTGAGGACATGAAATTTTTTTTTTAAAAAGACAGGAAAAATATCTTTATCAGAAAAAAATAAAAGGTAAACAATATCTACTTCCCATTAAGGGTCCTAGATGCATTTACCCACTGTGTTACGTGACTATGAGGATCCAAGAAAAAAAAAAGTCTTGTGTATCAGGCATTATTATAGTTACTGAGGTTATGGGGTAAAGAACACGGACTAAATATAGGTATCCTTGGTGCTTATATTCCAATCGTGTTAATCTCTGAACAAACAAACACAACATCCTACAAAAGACAACAGTGTTGGTAAGGATGAGAGGAGCTGGAATCCTGTGCACTGTTGGTGGGAATGGAAAATGGTGCAGCTGCTATGGAAAGGTGTATGGAAGGTCTTCAGAAAATGAAAAATAGAACCACCACACGTTCCAACAATCTAACTTCTGGGTATTTATCCAGAAGAACTGAAATCAGGATCTTCAAGAGATATTGGCACTCCCATGTTCAATGCAGCACTATTTGCAATTACCAAGATATGGAAACAACCTAAATAACCATGAGTGGATAAAGAAAATGTGGCATGTGCATACAACAAAACATTACTGAGTTTTGAAAAGGAAGGAAATTCTGCAACATGCAACCACATGAATGAAACTTGAGCAGGTTATGCTAAGTACAATTAGTCAGTTACAGAAAAATAAATCCTATGTGATTCTACTTATAGGAGGTATCAACATAGTCAAACTCACAGAATAAGAGAGTAGAATGGTGGTTACCAGGGGCTAGGGGGAGGGGAAATGGAGGTGTGCTAGTCAACGGGGTAAAGTTTCAAGCCAACAAGTTCTAAAGATTCCCATTCCTGAGCAGCACTGTTCCTAACAGTGACGTATTGTAAAGAGGGTAGTTCTCATTGTAAGTGTTCTTAGATAATGAAATAAAATTTTAAAAACCTATTTTGCTAAAAGAAAAGAAACTAAATGAAATTACAATAGAAAAGCACATACCATGGTGTATTAATGCTTATAAAGGAATGGTGATGTGAAAAATAAAAAAAGAATTGGTTCTACTGAAAATCAAAGCAAAAATAACATAATATGACTTTGTAACTTGTGATATGAAATAAATTACAAAGGCAAAGTCATAGCGAATGAGGCTGGGTGAGGGCAGGAAAGTGTTGGAGTAGTCAAGGAAGGCTCTCTAAGGAGGTGATATTTGAGAGCAGGGAAGAGGAAGTCATTAAAGGACTCAGTTGTGTGTCCAGGACAAAATGAACTTAGTGTGTTCTTATGTGACGTACAGAAAGGAAGCACTTGTGGCTGGAGTGTAGTGAATAATGGGGTGTGGGAGACACAGGAAGA